AAAAAATAATATAAGTTTACTTAATTAAATCTTTTATTTACATCTATATTTTAGCTAATGTACATTTTTTTTTTTTGAAATATTAAAATATTTTAAATTCCCTTCAAAATTTTTTTTTGAAAATTTCATTTTTTTCAAGATTAAAAATTTTTTTTTTAAATAAAAATTTTTTTTTTTAATTAAAATTTTATTTAAAATTTTGATTTTTTTGGAAATTTCAAATTTTTTTGAAAAATTTCCCGTTGAAACTTGTTTTAGACAAATTAAAATTTAAATATAAATTCTATCCGAATTTAATCCGGATTTTTTGTGCACTACACTGCACTACAGCTGCTTTTAGTTTATTCAGAAATGCATCCACAGTAACGCAGATTCTTAATTTTTTTAATATTTTTTACTAGCTTAGATAGTAGTTATTATTATTACTGATGGTGACTGTAACCATGAGGTTATATTAGGAATTACGATTTTGATAATAGTAGTAACTAATTAAAATAATAACAGTTATTATTACTGATTACCATGATAATAGTAGTAGTTACCATCAGGATGGTAAATACTACAATTCAGATAGTTTACTTAATTATTTAAATAATATTTACTACTATTGAATTCAGTTAATAGATTTTAACATAACTTCATAATAAACTCTACTATAAAATTTTCTCCGTGCAGTCAAGAAATTCTTCTTTCTGTGTACTATTTCTTAAAAAAAAATTAAAAACTCAATATTTTGAGTTGAAGGTCTTAATCAATTTTTCCGTAATTTTGTTATTTTATCCAAAAATTAAATTAATATCTTTAATAAAATATCTACAAAGTTTTCCCTAATTACTCTTAAAAATTTTACAATCATCCCAAAAAAAAAAAAAATAATTTGGCTTCAATATAAGTTCAACTGAGTAATATCATAATGAGTTTGAAATATAGTAAACGGTCTGGAGCGGACAGGATAAAAAATGCGAGTTTTCTGTTTGAGAAACCCTGGAGCTGGGGATTTGTTCGCCATCCAGGCAAGAATCTTTGGACCGGTTTTGGTTCTTCGGCGCTTCAGAGAGACCTCCTCTGAATAACTCTCCAGAAGAAACGAAAGATATATATCAGCCAAAAGACGAAGGGCATCACGAAGTTATAGTTACAGTTGGCACATTAAATCCTAGGTCCAAAATCCAGGAGAGTTTTTCAGAAAAGCATTCACGCCCCGGCTCTCCCTTGCTGGTTAAATAACAATAAATACCCTCAATTATAGATTTTAGCCACCCACATTGTCAGAAAATCTCGGCTACGAAATTTGCCAGTTGGTCCAAGAAAATTTCATCAATTAAATTTCTAAGAAATTTTATTTCAAGAGCTCGGAGCAATGATGATAATAAATTTCGCACCTTCAAAGGCGTATCCGTGTCGAAATTAAAGTGAAGAAAATAAAGAAGGAGAAAGAGGAAGAAGGAGAAAAAGGCCCTGTCATTAGAAATTACAATGTTGAACCCAGAAATTAGTTGGGATGTAAACAGGTTTATAAATTATGAATTATAAAATATGATTTGTTGTTGGAAGATATTCTAGTGTCGGATTTAAATAGGGTGAGTTATTTATTAGGATAAAGAAAATCCGTGAGAAAATCTGCGGAATTATTAAATTTTATTTTTATTTAGCTTTTTAGTAATTTTTTAATCTTGATTGTTAATTGATAATCACACGGAGAAAATTTTATCGTAGAGTTTATAATCTAGTTCATGTTAAAATCTATTAACTGAATTCAATAGTAGTAAATATTATTTAAATAATTAAGTAAACCATCTGAATTGTAGTATTTACCATCCTGATGGTAACTACTACTATTATCATGGTAATCAGTAATAATAACTGTTATTATTTTAATTAGTTACTACTATTATCAAAATCGTAATTCCTAATATAACCTGATGGTTACAGTTACCATCAGTAATAATAATAACTACTATCTAAGCTAGTAAAAAATATTTAAAAAATTAAGAATCTGCGTTACTGTGGATGCATTTCTGAATAAACTAAAAGCAGCTGTAGTGCAGTGTAGTGCACAAAAAATCCGGATTAAATTCGGATAGAATTTATATTTAAATTTTTATTTGTCTAAAACAAGTTTCAACGGGAAATTTTTCAAAAAAATTTGAAATTTCCAAAAAAATCAAAATTTTAATTAAAATTTAAATTAAAAAAAATAATTTTTATTTAAAAAAAAAATTTTTAATCTTGTAAAAAAAGAAATTTTCAAAAAAAAATTTTGAAGGGAATTTAAAATATTTTAATATTTCAAATAAAAAAATGTACTTTAGCTAAAATATGGATGTAAATAAAGGATTTAATTAAGTAAACATATTATTTTTTCTTTTAGAATTTTTACGATTTGAGATGGTTACAGTTACCATCTTCGATTGTAACAGTTATAATTTATAATAATTACAATTATTATTTTTGATAGTAATCGTTACCATTATTAATAGTAACTATTACAATTGTCAATGATATCACCTATTATTTTGTTACTAATTAATTTTATTACCATTTTAAATAGCCCGAGAAAAAATGTTTGTATATAATCATATATGATTATATATGGAATCACATATATAATTATATAGAATTATATATAATCATATATAATAATATATGACTATATAATCATACATGATTATATATGGAATTGTATATGAGGTCATATATAATTATATATGACTATATATGGAGCAATGTACAGCCATGCAAGATTGTATATAGACCCATATATAATTATATATGCTTATATATAATTAATATACATAAAAATTTTTTTTTTGATAATCACAAAAAGTGTAAAATGATGTTTATAATTACGTTTAGATAATTCTGAAATACAAAATTTGTCTCATTTCCTATGAGATGTTTTGTCTGCTCTGCTACTACCTATTATAATAGTAAAATCATTATTTATTTTATTATTTAAATAAGTGTTATATTATAATGAAATTCGGTAAAATAAATAAATTATGAATTATGACTATCCAAATATATTATAAAATCAATTTTTATATTAAATATTTATGATAAACTCATATGATACATTAAGTAGATCATAGAATCATTATTGTTTAAGACAGCAGCACAGCAGACAGAAACTTCAAGACGCACGGAAATCACCAAAGTTAAGCAGCATTGAGCAGGGTTAATAGAGTTGGATGGGTGACCGCTGGTGTTATAGCCATAAAATTAGATCTAGATATTTTTTTTGCATTTTGATTGGTTACACAGAGTTGCGTAGGACCATATTAAATACTCTATCCATAAAATTAACCCAATAATTAATTAGATGTAATAAATATATAATTAAATATTGTTATATATAATTATATATAGTTATACATAATTATATATAATTAGATATGATTATATTTGGCCATTTTTCATATATAATCATATATAACCAATTTATATATAAATATATATAAATATTTTTTCTCGGGAGTAAGAGTTACTATTTTTATATAGTAGGTAGTATAATTAATTTTTCTCCGTGTTCCTATTGGTACCACATCGGAAGTATGGATTCCTATAGTGAATTTATTTAAGTGGAACGTGACTTAGGCCAGTGAGTAGCGTAGAAGACTGTCAACCATGAGGTACCGGGTTCAAGTCCAACAGACGCGAGCAATTTTTTCATTAGATAAAATTACAAAATCCGTTTTTCAAAACTAATTTCAATTAATAGCAATTACTTCAGAATTATTTTTAATTTTTTAAATAAATTTTTTTTTCGCCTGATTAATATGGGAATCTATGTAGGATCTTACCCTGGATTCCTATATAGGAAAAATATGGATTTTTTGAGCAATTTTATATTTTTATTTAAAAAAATTATTTTTTTTTAATAATATCACGCTACTTTGTTCGACAGTTGATGATTGCAAGTTCGTAAATCTTCGCTTTGATGATCACGAAGCGAGAAACCTCAAAGTATCCATCTTATCCAATCAGGAAGTGCTTGAGACCTTGGATTTGAAAGAATCCGACGGACTGTTGGCTGATTTCTCTACTCCAGTGGTTTCTTTTTCCAATGAAACGGACAAGAACTATGAAGCTTATGAATTCGAACACTCCACCATTGCTCAAGTAAGCATCAAGCCCTTCAATCCTCCAATCTCATAATTAATCCAAAGAAAGAAAAATATTTTCTTGGCTCAAGTGAACCTTTTTTTCTAAACACTAAAGATTGTCATATCCTTCTAGTTTGCTCCAAATCTTGGATACTTCACTCTTTATCGTGATCAACCGAAAATGGCAGCGCTTGTCTACTCATTTAGAAAGCCAACAGACTTCAGCTTGGTAAAGTATCCATTTTTGATCATCAAAAATCCGAAATTTTCTTTGGAAATCTTTTAATAAGGCATTTTTGTGCTGCACTGACGCCCAAATTAAAATAATTTTTTTTCGTTCAATTTTTTTGCGTTCAGGATGGCAACATTGGCCACTACGTCCTAAGACACCTGCCAAATTCTGTGGATAATTCCCGGTACATCTATATCAAACTTCTGGATGCTTATCAAGGTATTAGTCGACAATCTAATTATTTAGCAAGGTATTTAACCGTCCAATCTTGAATTTGCCAGCACTTCCAGATGCTCCTCATGAAGTAGGAGCAGAACTAAAATTCGATTTAGGAGCTGCACATCTAGATACCATCATCGTAGAAATGGTCGTTTTGATAGACTCTCAAGAATCCAAGTAAGTAACGGCAATATTGATTTTTGTTGTTGGTTTACTGTATCGACAAATTTCACTTGCAGCACTACACCCACTGAAATGATTAAGAAAATTTTGATGTACTACAATTACATTGATATGCTCTACTGCAATTTTGAAAGACCAAAAGTCGGCTATAAAGTCGTGGGAATTGTAATTCCGAAGGTAAAGTTACCATTTTCTATTTTTAAATTTAAGTAACGCCCCCTTTGAAGTTTCCCTAGCAACCAGGACTAAGCCACGCCCCTTTTCATGCTACCACAGCAACCTACCTAGCAACTAAACTAAATCTCGCCCACTTTGAAGGTCACCATAACAACAACTAGGCTAAACCACGCCCTTATAAAAGTTTCCGTAGCAACTGAACAAAAACACGCCCCTTTTAAGAGTTTCTAGTAAATTATATAGGTTACGCCCTTTTTTAGGGTTCTAAAGAAACCAGGACTAAGTTACGCCCCTTTTTATGCTACCACAGTAACCTACTTAGCAACTAAACTAAACCACGCCCACTGTAAAGGTTACTATGACAACCAGGCTCAATCACGCCCCTATAAAATTTTCCTCAGCAACTGAACCAAAAAAACACGCCTCCTTTTAAGAGTTTCTAGTAAATAAGCCAGATTACGCCTCTTTTGAAGTTTCTATAGCAACCAGGATGGAACCACGCCCCCTTTTATGCTACCGCAGCAACCCACCTAGCAACTGGATTAAGCCATGCCCATTTTAAAGGTCACCAAAACAACAACTAGGCGAAACCACACCCCTTTAAATATTTTCTTAGCAACTGAACAAAAAACACGCCCCTTCAAAATTTTCTAGTAAATAAGCCAGGTTACGTCCCTTTTTAGGTTTTTACAGCAACTAAACAAAAACAACACCCCTTTATAAAGCCTGTTGAGTACATTTTGTAGCTAACAGGTTGGGTTACGCCTCTTTTAAGATTTACTTATCAACTAATCTAAAATCTCGCCTTTTCGAAGGTTTCCATAGTGATTAAATGAAACCACGCCCCTTAATAGGTTTTCTTAGCAACTTAACATAAACCCAGCCCTTGTAGAAGGTTTTTTTTATGCAACCACACCAACTTGCACCCCTTTGAAGGTCACCATAGCAACTTATCCAGCAACTAGATCAAGCCACGCCTTTTGAATTGTTTTCATAGCAACTAAGAAAAAAGTAACGCCCCTTTCGAAGTTTCTTTAGCAACCGCCTCAAACCACGCCTACTTATTACCAATTTTTCCTCGAAAAATCACTTTTTTGACTACTTGCAGTTTAAAATCGGCAATTCTAATAGTGAATATATCACCTCTTCCGAAATAAAAAACATCCAAGAGTTTATTGAACGACAAAAAAAGCGATTTAGCTTGAATAACTTCCAATTAGTCACAGTTATGACCCAGTGAGTATTTGAACAATCTTCAACATTGAATCTTTGGATAATCTATCACTATATACGGTTTTCTTTCTCAGGAGACTTATTCTGCTGAGCCACAACCCCTTAAAAGTGACCCAAGCAAGTAAGTATGAAGAAATTTTGTTCAAGAAGCTGAAAAATAAGTCGCTAAAATCGACTTTTGTTTATTTTTTAGTGACTGTCAACGAACATAAAATCTGTGAAACAGGCGACAAATTGATGATGATCTGGGCACTTGATGTTGACTTTCAAGCAGGACATGGTATTTGGGTGTCTCAGATGTTTTCGAAGTAAGTCTTTTGAGCTTGAAGAGTTCAAATGTAAAACACAATAATAAATAATGATTAATCTTTGATCAAGATTCGCTCCTGATCATTTCGATGAAGGTATGAAGGTAAAATGCCGCAACTTTACGGTTAATGTTCAACCGGATAACCTCAATCTTATGACACTGTGGCCGTCATGTGTCATCCGGGAATATTCTAATTATTTTAAGTATGTAATAATTTAGAATTTATGATTTGTAATCAAGTCAAGGTTTTAAGTGTAATTAAAAAGTGAATTTTTATATTTTTAGGACAAATTTCTGCGCGCGCTACGCTAAGAAAGACGTGGAAACAAAAACCCAGGATAATTTGATAAACTCAAAGTGAAAATAAAATATCCGCTGCATTTTTATATATTACTCATATAAAAAATATAATATGAATTATAAAATTATTGAATTACTTATCTTTTATTTAAGGAGATCCAAGTACCCTCCTAGTGTAAAGAATGTCTATAAAAAACTACGTAGAAATACTTTTGTTATCTTAAAATTAATTTTTAAATTAATTAATAACATTTTTGAGGAAATTTTCGATAAATTTACTCATTAAATAATTATTAACATTTAATTATTAAATAGTTATATCGACTATATTTTAATAAATATTTTCTCTCGTGTTAAACAAAAAATTATTAGACTGAAAGGTTATAACGGACGGTGTCTCAGATAGCGTAACTGGAAGAGCCCTTAATACGCAACCAAATGAAATCGGGTTCGATTCCCGACCCGGGCTGTCCGAATTATTTTTTCTGTTTTCTGTGTTAAAGTTAATCAAGGTGACTATTAAGCCCATATTTAACTAAAAAATAGTTTGAGTAACTTCATTGGGGTTCAATTTTATGAGTAAATTTAGGTATAACAACTTCAATTAAGAAGATCCAAATACCCGCCTAGTGTAAAGAATGTCTAAAAAAATAATATGTAGAAATACTTTTGTTATCTTAAAATTAATTTTTCAATTAATTATTAACATTTTTGAGGAAATTTCCGATAAATTTACTCATTAAATAATTATTAACATTTAATTGACTAATAAAAAATTTAGCACTCTGAATTACCGGTATACACTTGACAACACCGCAAGAGTTCCTTAACCTTTAAATTTATTTATGTTTACTGTCTAACTAAAATGACTAAGATCTTCTAGCATTTAAAAAACCGCGGTTACCGCGCATGGGTAACTGCGCAAGTGGTGTTGCCAAGTCAAATACAAGACTTTAAAGAACGCAAGTGTCCGAGTGATTTTTCATAAAAAATATAAAATATCTCCGTAATACGTTCGGAAAGCTACTTTTTTTATTGTTTTAATCTTTAGCTTATTATTTTTTCAATCAAATTCAATAAGAATAAAATTCTTTTTAAATCGTTAATTGCATTAAATTCTTAACCAAATACACGGCTGGTGGAATCTCCATTCACATGTAACAATTACAATTTTCAAACCTAATTATTTAATTAAATATCCCGGAAACCTACTGTTTTTTAATTTTTTTTATTAATTAGGCTCCGTAGATTGAATTTACAAATTATCAGGAAGTTTTAAAAATTTGACTACTTTGCCTGGATCTCCTTAAATAGACTATCATATTTTTTAATTTAAATGTTTGTTTATCAATAAATAAGTAACATGTTATGTATTCAATTAAAATATATTTTAAAATTTAATTAAAGTTATTAAGAAAAAATATTTGTTATTTATTTGTCGAGATTAACGTTTAAATTAACAAAATTATTTTTTTTAATTCAAATTTTCGCGGCGCAGTGACGTAGTATTATATCCGCTTTGCAACGCCACCTTACAGAGAATTTTAAAACCATATCCACAAATTTCATCAAAAATCAATAAATAAAACGGCTTTTTTTGTAATATAGCTTAATTTTATCGGTCAAATAAGTTAATAAATCTAAAAATAAAAATGAGTGACTAAAAACTGATCCACTTCTTTTATTATTACTAAATGTAATTATTATCTTAATTATTTTAATAAAACCCCCAATAAAACAAAGTAATTAAATTATCAAAAATAAACTTTGGTATTTCCAAATGATAACATTAAGAATATATCAAAGCGCAATTTATCAATACATTGAAAATAATTTCAGTTACTAATAATTGCTCTTGAGTCAGTTAATGGCCGACGCATCGCAACAAAATGGCGTCAAGCGTATATTGCAAGGTGATTTATCTATTGATTGCATTGTTCTGCAAATTGTCCGAAATTGAATCGAGTCAATGCAGTGAATATGGCAAAACGGTAAGTATACCTATAGGGCAAAATAATAATTACAATAATTATTTAACAATAACCTCAAATTTGTTATTTCAGTGCGACCCTCATAACCAGCGGCGATGTTGTAGCCCAACTTTGGAGTGCATGATCTCAAATCTGGATATGAAATTTGTCTGTATGGAAACAGGTACTAGTATAGAAAAAAAAATAAGAATTATTTTTATAACTTAATTTTTTATTTTTTTATCAGGACAATTATATTCGCGATGTTCCAAAAATGACGATTGTAGCTCGATTAATAATTTGATTTGTTCGAAAGAGAACATATGTGCTTGTCAACAAAACTATGTCGAATTTAATCATCATATATGTAGGCCGTTGCTTGGAGGCCGTTGTGCCAATAATGAGTCATGTGTGCCGAGAAACTCCAATTGCATTGACAATAAGTGCGAATGTAATCATAATTACTTTTCGTTTACGGATAATTATTGTTTGCCAGGTGAGTTAGTCAAATATTGAGATTTTTCAACACTGTATTGATAAAAAGTGTCAATGCAACTGATTTTGATTGTTCTGCATTGATTTAAGGCGTCAATACAGTAAAATTTTGGTTTTTTTATCGGTCATGGGATTTTACTATAGATTGTTTTAACAGCATTGATAAATGATGTCAATGTAGATATATTTTGGAGATATTGCATTGACTTATGGTGACAATGCAGTAAAAATGTTATTGCAATAACCTTTTTATTAATAAATAATTTAATAATTTATTCATTAATAAATCATGTCAATATAATTAATTAAAATGACAGCTGCATTGATTCGTGGTGTTAATGCAGTGAAAAATCGTTACTATATTGATTTTAAAATCTAAATTCAATTTAATTTTAACAATATTGATAAATAGCGTCAATATGGTCAATTTAGATAACTACTACATTGATAAATATTAGCAATGCAATTATTTTGACGGATTCTGCATTGATTTGTGATGTCAATGTAGTGAAAATGGCTACTACGTCGATTAGTGGTGCCAATGCAATGAAAAATCGCTTGTATATCGATTTTGCGAAAGCTAAATTTAATTTAATTTTAACACCATTGACAAATAGTGCAAATACAGTTAATTTTAATTGATGCTGCATTGATTTATGGCGTCAATGCAGTAAAAGTAAGGCTTATAATTAATTAAAATGACAACTGGATTGATTTCTGGTGTTAATGTAGTGAAAATGGCTACTGCATCGATTTTGAAAGCTAAATTCAATTTAATTTTAACAGCATTGATAAATAATGTTAATGTAGATATATTTAAGAGCTACTACATTGAGTTATGGTGGCAATGCAGTAAAAATGGTTATTAAATAGAGAACAAAAACTAAATATGAGCTTTTTTTATAGCGTTGCCAAATAGCGTGAATTTGATCAATTTTAATTGATGCTGCATTGATTTATAATGTCAATGCAGTAAATGTAAGGCTATTTTTATCGATTCTGAATTCTTAATATAGTCTATTTTTTATATTTTGATAAATTATGTCGATGTAATTCATTAAAATAACAACTGCATTGATTTGTGATGTCAATGTAGTGAAAAATGGCTACTACATCGCTTAGTGGTGTCAATGCAATGAAAATCGCTAATATATCGATTTTGAAAGATGATTTAATTTAATTTTAACAGCATTGACAAATAGTGTCAATGCATTTAATTTTAATGGATGTTGCATTGATTTATGATAACAATGCAGTAAAAGTAAGGCTTATAATTAATAAAAATTGCAACTGGATTGATTCGTGGTGTCAATACAGTGAAAAATCGCTATTGTATCGATTTTGAAAGCTAAATTCAAACGGTATTGATAAATAATGTCAATGCAGTGAATTTATATAGCTATTACATTGACTTATGGTGACAATGCATTGAAAATTTGATTATTATTCCCAATTTAGTGTTTTAATTCCTGAATTAATAAATTAATGAATGATAATTGATAAATAGTAATGTCATTTTTGTCAATACAGTAATTTTAGGAATGCCGTGTAGCGACGATACATTTTGTCAACAAGTAAGATTCGCACAATGTTCAGATAACAAAGTCTGTGAATGTAATTCAAACGCTGGTGAATTAAATCCAGCAAAATGTGGATCGTTACTAAACGGATTTTGTTTATCCGATAACGATTGCTATCACCTAAACTCAATCTGTGTCAATAAAAGGTGTCAATGCAAGCCAAAACACGTATCTTCAAAGTTATCAACCGGTGCTTGTCTACCGGGTTTGTGAAATTATAAATAATACAAATTATGAGTATCAATGCAATAACCAAAAATTATATATAAATATTTCAGGGTATTTAAACATGACTTGCTCAGCAAAAGATGTTCCATGCGATCTCTTTATAGAGCACACTAAGTGCTCATTCGATGGAAAATGCGTTTGTCAAAACAGATATCTTCCGATAAATGATACTAGTTGTGGGCTGATATTCGGAGCTGAATGTTTTTCTGAAGAAAGTTGTGCAACTGTCAATGCAGCTTGCATTGACAATAAGTGTCAATGCAAACTCAATTATGTTTACCGCTACGACAAGTGTTTGCCGGGTGAGTATAAAAAATATGGAGACTAAATGTTACGTGGAATAATAAAATAAACATCAAATTTTGAGTGCCTATTAATCATTTCAGCGTTATTAAATGAATCGTGTGAATTCGACCATGACTGTATTGAAATAAGACACTCAATTTGTTTAAAGCAACAGTGTATTTGCGAAGACAGCTATAAACAAATTGATAAAAATACGTGTAATAAAAGGAATACAGGTAATTTTAAACTGGAGCAATCGTGTTCTGGGAACGAAGAATGCCAAGGAATACCTTATGCGCACTGCATTGATAATAGCTGTCAATGCAAGCCTCAACACGCTAAACTGAATGAAACTGCATGTGCGCCGGTACTGGGTGCCTTTTGTTGGAGTGATAGTCCATGTGCAGATGTCAATGCAGTCTGCATTGAACATCGGTGTCAATGCCGCGCTGGATTTCTGGCTCAGTCTCACGATAAGTGCATTAAAAGTAAGGTTATAATTATGTTAAGAGCATTTTATGTAAGCATAATGAATATGCTGTATTAAATGATAACTTTTGTTAAATTGTACTGTACTTTCTTAAATATTGACGTTCTTAAAGATATAAGCTCATTCCGATGTCATGCTCATCAAGAGCTTTCATTTGAGTACCCACATGCATTTTTGATATATTTTTCATATATACATATATATGTGGGTACTTAAACGAAAGGTCTTGATGAGTGTAAGATCGGGGTGAGTTTATATCTTTAAAAATGTCAATATTTCACAAGATAGAAGGTAGTTTCTTAATATAGATTACCATTTATGTAATTTTAACCAGTAATTTATATCCATGGATCATTTAACCCTTTGTTTGCAGGTTTTTTGGGAAGTTCCTGCGAAAGATTCGGCGATTGCGACGTACTTCACTCCAAATGCTCTAATAAAGCGTGTGAGTGTATATCAAGTTATATTCCGCTAAACAAAACCACCTGTGCGCCTCTCTTGGGTGGATTTTGTTGGAAATCTGAAAAATGCCTACCAGATAATTCCGTTTGTGTCGATAATGAGTGTCAATGCAATAAAGACTACTCCCGACAATCTAACGAGCGCTGTTTGCCGAGTAAGTAATTTTATTATCAATTTCAAATGTTATTTGTTCTTGGAAGACCGTTCGAGCATCGTCAATTCTGTTCCAGCCTCTTTGGGCCAGTTCTGCAGAGTCAATGCAGACTGCATTGCAATTAAGTACTCGGTTTGTTCCGAAAATACCTGCGTTTGTAAACCGAATACTGTTCCGGCCGAAGGTAACAGATGCAAATCTCTCCTTGGTGGAGTTTGTGGCGACGAGAAAGATTGTTTTACTCGTAATGGACTCTGCATTGGCCATAGGTGTCAATGTCATAATAATATTCTTCCCCAATCAAATTTTAAATGTCCAGTCAGTAAGTTTGCATTAAATAGCTTGCAGAAAATTAAATGTTTAATTTAATTAATAAATATTATATCATTTATTTGGACAATATGATTGTTGGATACGATTTTTAGCAGCTAGTAGAACATACCTACGCGCTTAACAAATGCAATAACAAATTTCTTTTTAGGATTTGTTAACACGACGTATGCGAAAATGGGAAGTGATGATCCAGTCAGGTGTTCTAACGACGGAACTTGCACCTGTGGACCGAAGCACGCCGCATTAAATGACACAATTTGTGCTCCTGGTTTGGGAGAAGCCTGCAACTACTTGTGTCTTACGGACAATGCAGCCTGCATTGATAATAAGTGTCAATGCAAGCTAAATTACGCTCCGCAGGCGGGAAAATTTTGCAAACCAAGTAAGCATAAGTAGTTTTTAATAACACAGAAAGAAAAATTTCTTGACTGGAGAACAAAATTCTTGATTTGTCGGGTACCTGAAGGAAGACCTAAGTTGTGTTGGCCGAGTTGATGAAATTTATTTTTTCAGCACAATTGCACTTAGCTTGTGCGTTCGACGTCGACTGTAATGACGTCGAGCATGCAAAATGTTCGAACGGCGAGTGTCTGTGCAGGGAAAAATATGCGGAGCTCGATGTAAAGACATGTCGGCCTCTGTTAGGAGGATCTTGTAGGTCAGACAGTGACTGCCTCACTGACAATGCGAGCTGCATTGACAATCGGTGTCAATGCAGCGAATATTTCACCACTGCAAATGATTCATGCCTTCCAATTGATAAATTTTGTAATATCAATGCCGACTGCTCGGATATAGACAATACGGAGTGTTCTGACAATGTATGCAAATGCAAACCGAATTTCCGGAGGCTCAACAGTATCGTCTGCGAACCACTTTTGGGAGGGGCTTGCAAAAGCGATGCACAGTGCCGGATACCGAATTCTGCTTGTCTGATGACCAAGTGTCAATGCACTAGATATTATGTTGCAAACTCAAACAATCGATGCGCATTGTGTAAGTTTTTACTTTGCATAAGAATCTTTTTATAGTATGGTACATATTACCGGTGAAGTATAATTAATTAGTGCCTAAACTAAAAATTAACACGCGCGCTGCTAAAATTTTTCAATAGATTAACATGAAAATTTATTTATTTTTGTTTTAACTAAATTTTATCTGGAGCAAGATAAAATTTTTCAAGATCATAGAATGTGTTTATTGATTACGGTGATTTTGTTTGTTCTTTTATTAACTTTGTGTGTCTGTCAACATAATTGAGAGTCTTTTGATCGAGAATGTAAAGCTACAACAATACTTTGTTATAAAGTTAGATTATAAATAATATTTAATGGTGAGGGTCACCGATCCAGCTACTAACCATTTAAAATGCTACTTAACCAAGAAGGATCGTTAAGTATTTGGCTTTAACTTCGGTCTGTTGGCTCGAGGACATACTATATACTAACCTACAACGGTCTTATAGACAAAACTAATAGGACCGAGTACTGTGTGATAAGTCTTAGCTTCCTCTTACACCTTTACTATGGGACATTTTTAAATTTAATATCTACCATGGTAATTTATAAATAATATACATCGGACTAAGTAATATATTGTTGAATTTACTATAATAATCTAGTAAAATTAATTGGCAATACTAGTAATCTTTTCTCTTATTGTTAGTTAAATTTTCCAGGTATATTAAATAGGATTTATAAATTAGTCCTAATACTTGTAAATTTAGTATTAAACTTTTTCATGCATCCATACTAAAATTTCACTGATTTTCTTTACAGTAACCCTAGGACAGCCTTGCATTGATAACAATAACTGTAATACGATACCGTACGCCGTTTGCTCTAATAACATTTGCACCTGCAAACAAAACTTCATGGCAATTGACGAGGACACATGCTTGCCCGTAATTGGCGGACATTGTCTCGAAGACATACAATGCCGTTATAACACAACCGAGTGCATTAATGACAAGTGTCAATGCAAGAAATCTTTTAATGCTGTTTCGAATCATCAGTGTCGAAAGAGTTGAGTATAAATTACCAATTTGGAGGTCGTAGCATAAGGAGGTTCGAGCGTAACTTATGAGTCAAAATAATGTTTAAATTTTTTTTTACTTTCAGTCTTCCCAATATTCGTCAAAATTCTTTATTTTAATTTAAAATAATTTGAACAATTTAATAATTGATGATTTTTACTTGATTAATAAAATAGAGTAATAAAATGACTTTGGTATTTATTACTTGCCGGATTAAATAAACAGATTTGGCAACAGCGCGTTTGATTATACCCATTACAGAGACGCGGATGAGTGTGTGAGTTAAATATTTCTCTCTCTGTAACTATATTTCTATCCTTTTATTTTTCCTCAGCTGTTGACGCGACGTTGCCAAATCTTTATTCGAATAAATAGCTGACGATAAACGAGTCAAAAACATTAAATTAAACTTTAAATATTTCGAAAATTATATCGGTAATGTATTATTATTAAATTTTTTTTATATTTTACAATAATCCAAATTTTGCGTGTATAGTTTTTTATTCGTTAAAGTTGGGAGGTTAATATTGAAAAAAATAATCAAAGTCTCGACTAAACGTTTGTCCGCCATAAGAGCCCGTGTATAAGGAGATAAAAAATGTGATTTTTGAAATTTAATATCTAAGTAACTAAACGGTGAATCTTTTTTAAATTTTTGGATTAAATAAATTACGTATTTATTTATACGTATACTTAATTTCAAAGCTCAAAGTTGGAAATTATTTTTCACATTAGATTCGCTTGAATCTCCTTAAGATGAGAGAGTTATTAGTATTCACTATACTGACAGCTAATTATCACATTTATTTCACAATTTTTTTCAGAATCTTCGATATCTTCCTGCAGTAACGTCACGGAATGCGGCGACCGTTGGCATTATCAATGCAGCGATGGCAAGTGTATCTGCGCAGATAAAAATATCTTTGTCGACACCTGGACCTGTTCTCCGATCATCGGCGGAGCTTGTTGGGCGGATCATCAATGCGTCATTCAGAATTCGTACTGCATTGACTTTAGATGTCAATGCAGGCCTAATTATGTCGCAATAGCTGATAATTTGTGCTTCAAAAATATCTTATGATTTTTAATGTTATTTTTGTGACTTAATTTGCGACCTTGCGGTTAAAAAACTAATAAAGTTTTTGATAAGTATTTCGAAACATAAAAATAAAAATTAATTAACTTGTTTTTGTTAAAAGAGAAAGTCATTTTTTAGCTCGCAGTCAAAAATATGGCGGCAAGGATGTTGGTAAGTTTGTAACGGGTACTTTTTGACCAATTTTTACCCCCGGCTCGATTTTAAGCTCGCCGGAGTCCAGGATTCTAACGAGGGTAATTTCTAAATTAATCAAACTAGATATTTAATTAATATTAACAAAACAAAACCTCTTTATTTCAATAAACCAAAACATTAAACATTATACAAAGAAAAACGGCGAATAATCAAACTAAACCTATACATACACGGCGTTTACAATTTCTATTACCGTCATCGGTAATATCATACTCCCGTCGCTTACAAAATCGCGTCGCTAATTCCCTTCCGTCGGCCCTCTGGTGCCCAGCTCCTGACGGGTGTCTAGCGCCGCCCCGCAGGCCCTACTTCGCGATTCCCAAGGGAAGAGTGAATAGAATCCACCTCTCCCCCACCTATTCGGTTGGGGTTGCCACCTTTTGGCAGAAGGCCTCCAGGTGGAGAGTCGCCTTTACTCGTAGGTAGATAAGTTCACTTACCTGTGGTAGTCCGCACCAGGTAGAGAGAACTCCCTTTTAATTCCTCTTCCAGAAGTCTCCAGAAGAGAAATTAGACCCAGAGAAAGGTTGCTCAACGGCGGATAATTTTTGGGCTTTATCAACCCAAAAATTATTAATAAAAGCGAAAAGTATTGGCAAATTATCGCCACCTGTCGCTCGCCGTCGAACTTCGGGAAATCCCCGAAAATTTATAAGTTTTTAATTTAATTTTCAAAATTAAATATCAAATTCATTCAAACAATTCATCAGATTACATTAATTTCAATCAAATTACAATTCCATACAATTTCTCATCAGAACTTAGAAAAAATAATTTTAAAACAAAAATAATTATTTTACCGAAATTATTTCCCATACTAATTTAATTTCTAGGGCTTAGAAAAATAATTAATTGGATATTTCGAATTTATTCGAAATATTTTAATCAATTAATTATTTTAGATAAAGTAAATTTTTGTTCTTTAAAAGAACAAAAATTATCGTGACACGGATTCGCTTATATTAGCTCGGCGATTTTTATCGCGAGCGAACCGTCGACGCCATCTATCGCCCGATGGCGAACTACTAAATTCCTTTATACTTTTTAGCCGTACGTCGTTTAAAATAATTTTAATAAAGAAATAATTATACACAAAAAATAATACATGGATTATTATTATTATTATTAATAATAATAATCGTCGTAAATAAATCATAAAGTAACCGAAACTCGTCAAAGTAATTAATTCAATTAATTATTTTAAACGACGTTTTAACCGATAATTAAATTAATAATCTTTCAATAATACTTTTAAACAATTAGTAATAGTAATAATAATAATAATAATAATAATACTATTAATTAATAATAATTAACAATGAACAAAAATATTTAAACTCCTAAACAGAAAATAAACTTATATACATAAATGCCGTGGCACGGGTATAGTCGACGCGGTCGCGGTAGCGATGGCTCGCTCGGTCCGTCGATGAGTCCCGTCTCTCGTCCCTCCGCCTCCTCGCTTATAATACCTTCTTCACAAGTTTTGGAGTGATTATTTTTTTCCTGACTTTTAACGTTCAGGGAGATGAAGAAGCCAAACGTTATCGATGCCCTGGTTTAGGAAAGCAAGTAAGTTCTTAAATTCTATAAAAGCTTCAAAATTATCTCATAAACTTTTATTTACAGTGCAATCAGGCATTTGTAAACCCTTGCTGCGGTGATGACTTAGAATGCCGAAAAATTCTCAGTAGTGAATTTTTGTGCAGAAAGAAAGGTATGAAAAAGTTGGGTAAATTAAAATGTGCACATAAATATATTTATAATACAAATTACAAATGGTAAATTTTTAACGCAACGCTAAAAATCAAACTATAATTATTAACGTGCTTGGACTGGTGAAATATATACCTTAAGAGTAGAATTTTCACTGTTTCAAATGTTAAATTCTCCCAGGGCGAGATCCTCTTCTCCTTATAGTATGGACTATGTATTGAAACGGCAATTTTTAAGTAGATTTATTTAAGATCTATCTATTGTAGCCGGTCTCATTTTGTAATTTTAAGAAAATTTTGAATTTCGTATATTTTATGGAAATAATTTTTCAGATGTAAAAGATAGATGAAATCTATCAAATTTATCTCAAACTTCATTAAATTATCTTCAATTTAATTAATTAATTAAACTTTCCGTCAGATATTTTAGGAGGTCAATGCCGCAACAATGGAGACTGCAGCGCCATTTCTAATTCTTTGTGTTCCGATAAAAAAATCTGCGCATGCGTTAAAGATTCTGTCTATTAACAATAAGTGTCAATGCAAGGCTTAATTTCGTAACAGTTTCCAATTGGCAGTGTGTAGAAAGTAAGTATTTACATTTATTAAATCTCTTTTTGCAGAGAACTAAATAGTAATGTAAATTTTTTAGAAAACTCATCATTTTCTTGCGAAAATGATTACGACTGTGGCGAGCCATGGCACTCGGAATGCTTAAATTCCAAAAAGTGCTTCTGTAAATTGAACAGTTACGCGACGAACATGTCAACATGTCGACCACTATTGGGCGGATATTGTTTGAAGGATGATCGATGTCTCCCGGCGAACTCTGAGTGTAGTAATTTCCAGTGCAAATGCAAGAACAGATTTGTTGCAGCAGCTAATAACCTATGTGTGCCTGTAAGAGGTTCATAATTAATTTCCTTCACGGTTTTGTAAATGCCGCAAAAATTCGGTATTTATACGATATAAATGCTGTATGTTTACCGTAATACTTCAGTTATTTTAGCCAGTTTTTTGCCGAATTATTACGAAATAAATTCAGAATATTTACGGCAATACAATAGGAAAATTATGGTATATTAACAGCATTCAAACCGTAAATGTACCGCATATTTACTGTATATTTGCGGCACTATTGCAGCAAAAAACCAGAAAAGAAGATCCCTACTTTCTATTACCGGTAAAATACCAAAATTATGCTGCTTTACTACTATTATTCAATAGCTTAAAATTTTTTTTAATAATAATTATAAATTATCATGAATAATTTTTAAGAGGTTAATAAATAAATTTCCCTATTATTATAATTATTATAATTTTTTTTAGTCCAGACCGGGATTTGAACCCGGATCATTTAGTTACGCGCCAAAGGCTCTACCAGTTGAGCTATCTGAGACACTATCCGTAACCATTTATTCAGTCACCTAATAAGACCCACCGAGTAATAAACACCACCATCCATTTTACGGTAGAAAGCATTATATCTTTAATTATATTAGTATAAACGGGGCAAAATTGCAGTATATCTTCGGTATTTTTACCGTAAAAATACGATTTTATTATTGTAAAATTATAGTAATATTATAGTGAATACATAGATTTTTTACGGTAAAAATTCTAGAGTATTACGGCAATTTTATCGTATTCCTGAACTTTGCAGCAAAAGTACGGTAAAAATGCTGTATAACTATAGTAACAAAAACTGGCCAATATAACCACAGAAATACCGTATTATTTCATAATCATAATGGTAAATTTATGATAAACGCATTAATACCGAAAATTTACGCGAGGGATTGACAAGGAAAATATTTAGGTCAAAGAAAACAATAAAATTGACAAATTACACTTACTATTTTATTTATAACCCTCAAGATAATTCACAAAATCATCATAAGATTACCAAATTAACCCACCACCAAAAATCACTCACAAGAACACTCTTCTGCATTGACATTAAACACTTTCCTGTTGATAACTTTACCCTCTTTGAAATACCAAACCTTAATCCCCGAAAACTTAGTAGGCAAGCAGAATATCGCAGGAACCTCTTCAGGATAGGCCTTGCTTAACGCGCTGAAGATCCGAAAATGCTCGTATTCTTTGAAGTAGCTCTGAGTATCATGCTTGGATTGCTTGCAAACGCCACTGCAGTACGTGAAGTTGATTCTTTTGGGCGCAATGATCTGATTCCTTCCAATGTCTTCAAACCAGAGATCAATAGACTTGATTCCACAAACCTCCGAAGTGTTCTTGTAATCAGCCAAGTTCTTCTTCACAGTCCGGTGACCCTTGATCATCATCATCCTGATCCTCCGCTTGTTAAAAAAAGGAGTAGACAAGAGTCCAGAGTCCGACAAAACGGACCGTTTTGTTAATTTGACCAGAGACCTGATGTCAGTTGGTCCAGGCTTCCTTTTAGAGTAGCATACCATCAGAGGCGAAAGCTTCCCACTGACCCCCAGTTCAATATTGCATCCTGCAGAAATGGCAAATCCTTGATTCCTTCCCGGCTCTTCCATCCAGGATTGGACGGCCTTGGTGACGTTGAACACCAACCATCCACCTTTCTTCCCTTGACCTTCTATTGTCTCAGATTTGATAAGTTCGCAGCTCTCACAATCATTTTGTCGCACTAGAGCCCACGAATAACAATTTGAACCAGTATGTTGGAAGATCCTAAGTTCCGCTGACTCAAAGGTGCCGTCTAGCTTTGAAATGTCAAACCTCAGGTTGTCCAGGTTGTCCGTTGCTGGCATCATGCTGCTAATCACCATTTCCGCGGTATCTAGCGCTCCCCAACGAGTGTCTTGATTGAATTCCTCAAGGATGCTTTCCATGTAGCGGACAGCTGAATTATTTAGATCAGCAGGATTGTCCTTGAAATTCAAGCCTTGGTCACCAATCATAGAGGACACTAAGAAACTTAAAACCACCAACGAATCCATGGTAGAGTAAATGATTAGAATCATCAGGAGAGATTTTTATAAGCTATTACATTCTTAGTTTTATCAATATTGACACTTGATATGATTGTCGACAAGTGGAATTAAATTATCTAGGCGACAAGTAAGAATAGTAACACTTGTAGCTGTTTTAAATCAAATAGTAATTATTTTTGTTATCTGTTAGCGTCACGGAAGGAACATCTGGCAAGAAATAAGTCTACGATTTGCGTCTCATAAGATACAAAATACTTTATTCAATGTTTACATAGTTTGGCTTTAATATAAGGCTTAAGTAACTAAGAGGAATATCAACCGCTTCTGGGGTCCTAGATAAGTTAACCTTAGAAGCGAAACAAAGGATCGCGGACGCAAGAGCTCCGGCGGCACATCCATCCTGCACAGCAATCATTTGGGTCTTGACACTTAACAAATGAAAACTAGTTAAGTAACCTCCCTCACAATTTTGTAAATGCCGCAAAGATTCGGTATTTATGCAATATAAATGCTGTATTTTTACCGTAATACTTCAGTTATTTTAGCCAGTTTTTTTGCCGAATTATTACGAAATAAATTCAGAATATTTACGGCAATACAATAGGAAAATTATGGTATATTAACAGCATTCAAACCGTAAATGTACCGCATATTTACTGTATATTTGCGGCACTATTGCAGCAAAAACCCGGAAAAGAAGATCCCGACTTTCGATTACCGGTAAAATACCAAAATTATGCTGCTTTACTACTATTATTCAATAGCTTAAAATTTTTTTTTATAATATTATAAATTATCATGAATAATTTTTAAGAGGTTAATAAATAAATTTCCCTATTATTATAATTATTATAATTTTTTTTAGTCCAGACCGGGATTCGAACCCGGATCATTTAGTTACGCGCCAAAGGCTCTACCAGTTGAGCTATCTAAGACACTATCCGTAACCATTTATTTAGTCACCTAATAAGACCCACCGAGTAATAAACACCACCGTCTATCTTACGGTAGAAAGCATTATATCTTTAATTATATCAGTATAAACGCGGTAAAATTGCAGTATATCTTCGGTATTTTTACCGTAAAAATACGATTTTATTATTGTAAAATTATAGTAATATTATTGGGAAACTGAGGATTTAAATACGCCGCCTGGTGGTTTAAATTCAAACTAGCGATTGTAGGATAGAATCATGTTTAACACAATGTTAATATCAATAAAATAGCAAAATACAGTGTAATTTTTATTAAAAAAAAAAAAATAAGCAATACAAAAAGTGAATTTCGTAATCATACATTTATAAAAAATTAATATACGTACATCAATATAATTATAAAAATGGAATTTTCTCCACATAAAAATAAAGAATTGATGGTGTAAACTATTTACAAAAAAAAACATCAATAAAAAAATTAATTAAAATAAAAATTATTTAAAAATGTTTTGCTAAAGCTGATGAAGAATTTTCTTCCACCATTATTTTAAGAAATTCTTCATATTCTGCTTCATCTAATTCAGTTAAACCCATGCTTAAACATACTAGAGGATCAGTAGCAGCTTCTTTTGGAGTGACGTATTTTACTTAGAGTGATCTAATAGATTTCTTCATTTTAACTTTATCTTCACCTTTTTTTTGTATTTTTCCGTTCTTTGAGAATTGAGCATTTATTTCATGAGGTTAATTTCTTAAACCAGCTGTTTGTAAGCAAAAAGCAAGGATATGATAAACATCACTGTCATATCACTATGATTCACTTTCCCACAATTCAATAAATGACCGCAATCAATAATATTTTCTCCATCAATAAAATTCTTACTAGCAGCTGTAGCTGAAGTAAATTTACAAATTTCTTGTAAGTTTACACGCATTTTTATTTAAATTTTGGTCACACGCAATTTTTAATTTAATTTTATATCCTATCTACACGTTTATTTACAAGCATCAGCTGTATCCAGAATCCTACAATCGCTAGTTTATTTTTTAACCACCAGACGGCCAAAAATTAAGCCACGCCTCTCCCACGGATCCCAATAGTGAATACATAGATTTTTTACGGTAATTTTATCGTATTATTCCTGAACTTGCAGCAAAAGTACGATAGAAATGCTGTATAACTATAGTAACAAAAACTGGCCAATATAACCACAGAAATACCGCATTATTTCATAATTATAACGGTAAATTTATGGTAAACGCATTAATACCGAAAGTTTACGGTATTTTAAAAACCGCGAGGGCTGTAATTGATTGGGAAGAGTACGTACTTTTGCTAAGTGCCTTCCGCAATAAGGGTGACAGCATTCCGCAATAATTATCAAGGTAGCCAGGCTTAGAATCAGCAAAAACAGTTGCACAGGAACCATAATTAGCTTCTAAGTCACCAAAGTTGACTAAACAAAGTTATTTCTATTTTAAAAAGTCGTTAAACGCAATTACCAACGAAACAAACAAGATAAGGCTATTGAAGTGTAATGGGGAGAGGATGAGCTATGTTTAGCTTCGATTAGAACAGAAATGATAACAACTTACATGACAATTATAAATATATTTATTCATTTCAATACATTCAGCAAATCTTGGCCCTAATCTTCGGTAATCTAACAAGTTCTAGGTTGTCTCCCTTAGTGATCACCACCATCAGCCCAGAGTACGACTTAGGCTCGCAGTAGTCCGCTTGAATGACATTCGGAAAGCGTTGATGCAACAAAGAATGCACAAATGCATGCACAAAGTTGTTCCGATTGACATCAACCATTTTAGGACACTCACCGGAGCAGTAAGTGTAGTTAAATCCAGTTGGAGCGATCACGTAGTTGGTCCCAATCTCCGAGAACTCGAGGAATACCTTTTTAAGCAGCCTTTCGGGTTTTGGGATGGTTTCTAGAAGGTTGTTTCCAATTGGGCTCGATTCGATGGATCTTATGTTTCTGAACGTCCTTTTGGTGTTTAAGGTCTTGGCAATGTTTGACGGAACGACGCTGCAGATTAGCAGGATTGACAGGATTAGCAAGCTTTGATCCATTGGAGCGTTTGCAAAAGCGGTGTTAGATTGTGAAAGTCTCTTTGATTACTGAAGAAACGGCATGATGTTACGAAAGTTGGTCTATTTTGGGTGATAAGACGTAGATAGCAGTGGAATATTGTGGCATAAAAATGCCGGAGGCTAAGAAAGCTATTATAAATCTATTTCGAAGTATCCTAAAGATACGGCAGGTTGTTGACCAAAAAAAACTATTTAATTATTTTATTTTATTTTGAACTTATCAATTTAAGTAAAAGGAAATTACCTTTTCTTAATTTTGTCACGAAGAAAAACAAATTATATAAAAGTCGTTGTCCACTCAGTAGTTCAGTCACTCGAAACTATTTCTGAAAAAATGAACAAAAAAATCTCCGTAGCTGGAGGACTAGCTTTGTTGTTTATCGTCAATGCAGTGCAGAAAGATGCCCTTAATCAATGCGCTAATTTTGGAGACGCAGTAAGTATGCTTTAATGAACTTATTATTGTCCAATTGATTATAATTTTTGTAATTTTCCGTCAGTGCGGTTTGGATCTTAAGCGTCATTGCTGTGATGATAGTTTGAAGTGCGCCTGGTCGCATTCTGCAACGGAGTATCAATGCATCAAAAGAGGTGACTATCAAATCATCAATCAGAATTCATATTCTAATCTTTGGTTCTTATCTTTTGGGTGAATTAGCAATACTTGGAGGTAATTGTCGCACTAACGAGGACTGCAATTACGTTTTGCACTCAACATGCTCATCAGGAATCTGCGTATGCAGACAGAACAATATCCGAGTCAGCGAGACCAAATGCATGCCGCTACTGAACGAGTTTTGCTGGAAAGAGCAATGCGCACCAGATAATTCGGTGTGTCTTGATAATGAGTGTCAATGCAGGACAGATTTCTCAGCTGTGGGCAATGCTCGATGCATTCCAGATGGTACTGTAGTTGATTTAAGTCATTTAAGCTCTATTCATCAATAGAGGTCTTGATGCTTTCAGTGATGTTAGGAGCGTCTTGCAGGGACGATGAAGCTTGCACGACGATCAAATTCGCAACATGTGCTTCTAACGGAACCTGTGCCTGCTCAGAAAGGACGGTTATGATAGGGCCGATGTTGTGCTCGTTGCTTTTGGAAGACACCTGTGGAAGCAACAGCGAATGCAGGGTTCCTAATTCTGAGTGCATTGATCAGAAGTGTCAATGCAAGCTAAGGTATATTGTTGCTTCGCGTGCCGAATGCAAAAATGGTAAGTGGGATCAAAATGGGTTTTAAATTTAGTAATTCGAAGTAATGGTTTGTTTCAGCTTACGTAGGAATGTACTGCGAAGACTCAAGTTACTGTCATTCTAATATAGATAATACACAATGCGTTGGGCATAGGTGTGAATGCAGTGCCAATTACGGTCCAAAAAATGGTAACGAGTGCTTATCACTATCGCGATGCGATAGTGATAGTGACTGTAAGCTAAAAAATTTTAAATGCATTGACAACGAATGCCAATGCAAACCTAATTATCTACTGCAAGAGATAAAATGTCTGCCTAGTATGTATTGTATTATTAATTTTATATTGATTTTAACTTACCATTCAAATCTATAGTATAGTACATTTTACCGGTGGAGTAACTTTTCCTGATGAATTTATAATTACCCATGATTTCAGTCCCGAAAAGTATGCTATGGTATATCACAAAAAATAAAATGTAACAGAGTAAAATTAATTAGTGTCCAAACTTAAAATTAACACGTGCGCTACTAAAATTTTTCAATAGATTAACATGAAAATTTATTTATTTTTGTTTTAACTAAATTTTATCTGGAGGAAGATAAAATTTTTCAAGATCATAGAATGTGTTTATTGATTACGGTGATTTTGTTTGTTCTTTTATTAACTTTGTGTGTTTGTCAACATAATTGAGAGTCTTTTGATCGAGAATGTAAAGCTACAACAATACTTTGTTATAAAGTTAGATTATAAATAATATTTAATGTTAAGGGTCACCAATCCAGCTACTAACCATTTAAAATGCTACTTGACCAAGAAGGATCGGTAAGTATTTGGCTTTAACTTCGGTCTGTTGGCTCGAGGACATACTATATACTAACCTATCACGGTCTTATAGCCAAAACTAATAGGACCGAGTACTGTGTGATAAGTCTTAGTTTCCTCTTACATCTTTACTATGGGACATTTTTAAATTTAATATCTACCATGGTAATTTATAAATAACATATATCGGGCTAAGTAACATATTGTTGCATTTACTCTAATAATCTAGTGAAAATAATTGGCAATACTAGTAATCTTTTCTCTTATTGTTAGTTAAATTTTCCAGGTATATTAATTAGGATTTATAAATTAGTCCTAATACTTGTGACTTTAGTACTAAACTTTTTCAGGGAAGATAGTATTGAAGATACTTTCATTATACTCCAGCGATACAATGCACCCATACTTCAATTTAATTTGAATCTCTACGGTGTATTATTTACAGGATACCTGGGAGGATTGTGTGAAGTATCATCCGACTGCATTAACATTGACTATGCAGTTTGTAAAAGAAACGAATGTACTTGTGAAAATGGGTTCTTCCCAATTAATCGATCTCAGTGTGGAAGAGGTTTGACAGTCGAATGTTCGAAAGATGAAGAATGCATTATCATAAATTCTCAATGCATGAAAAACAAATGTCGATGTCGTGACGGCTACACCCAGAGCTCCGCGAAATTTTGTTTGCCAAGTGAGTTCTCCTTAAATGGTGTCAATGTAATAACAGTATATGCTAACATATGCACCATTACAGAGTACTTTCAGGGATTTTGTTCCACTGACGATCAATGTAAATCGATACCAAATTCCCACTGTTCCAAAAACAATCAATGCATTTGCAGAGAAAACGCTCAACAAAGTTCTTCAGCATGCGCGCCATCGCTAAATCAAAGCTGTTCAATAGCAAACCAATGCATTACAGAGAACTCCATGTGCATTGATAACGTGTGTCAATGCAGAGACGGATATATTTCGGAATCTAATGACAAGTGCATAATAATGACTCCGTTGTCAAATAATCGAATTTTAGAGTATTCAGAAAAATCTTGCGTTGTCAGCGCCGACTGCACTGCCATTTCTAACGCAATGTGTTCGAATAAGAATAAATGTGTCTGCAAGCCGCATTACGTGAGATCGGAACAATTCAAATGCTCGCTGCAGCTAGAAGCTTACTGTCAACAAGATGGAGACTGTATTACCAAGAATTTAACATGTTTTGACGAAGATTGCCGATGTCCGAAGGAATTTTTCCAGGTCTCTGATAACCTTTGCGCACGCGGTAAGACTCTTCAATATTGATGATCTTGGTCAATTAGATTGACGTCGTTAAATTTTTCCTAGGTTTTATTGGACAATTTTGTTCTGCTGATGAGGATTGCGATATGATAACAAATGGAAGATGTTCTGAGGAGAAAATGTGTGCTTGCAAGTCTGGTTATGCAAAATTTGATGCTTTGGTGTGCCTGCCCCTCATAGGAGAGTATTGTAATGAACACAAAGATTGCTATGTCTACAATTCTAACTGCGTTGACAACAAGTGTCAATGCTTGGAAAATCATATGCCGTTGTCGAATACTAAATGCCTGTCAAGTAAGTGTTTATTATATGGTCCACAATTTCTCTTCTAATCGCTATTGCTTCCAGAATATGTTAGCCGTTCTTGCTACGACAATGTTGACTGCTTAGCGATAAATTATTCACACTGTTCGAGATACGATCTATGTGTTTGTAATCATAATTACATGGTGGATAAGCGAGGTTTTTGCAAGCCAGCTTTAAATGGGCATTGTTTGGAAAGTTTACAGTGTCAAATTGCAAATTCTCAGTGCATTAACAGTAAATGTCAATGTATGAAAAACTTTGTCAGTGGGATTTATAATAACTGTATACCAAGTAAGTGTAAAATATTCTGTGAAAAATTTTTTGGTACGCCTCTTTGGCACAAAACCCTAACTCCTGTAATACGCCTCAATGTTCATGATCTTCTCCTAGCGCGGCTGGGGAAATATTGCACGAGTGACGGAGACTGCGCTGCAATTAAATTTTCTCATTGCACTGGAAATAAGTGTGTCTGCAAGAAAAATTACGAGACGGTTGATAACGCAGCATGCAAGCCACTACTGAATTGTTTTTGTACCACCGACAAAGACTGTATCGTCGAAAATTCTTATTGCATTGACAATAAGTGTAAATGCAAACCTGACTATGCAATGCAGAGCCTTAGTAGATGCGAACCGAGTACGTGTTCTCTTTTTTAACTAAATGTTCATTAAATTAATAATGGTTTAGTAAAATTGTGTTGACGTTTCAGGGGTTTTGGGCCAGACGTGTGAAACGGATTCGCACTGCAGTTTTATTCAGCAAGGAAAATGTTCGCCGGACAATATTTGCGTCTGCTCTTTGGATACTTTCGCTCTAGATAATAAGACCTGTTCGCCGCTTTTGAACACTTTTTGTCAGTTCAACGAGTACGAGTTAGAATTCTCTCATTGTGTTGATTATAAGTATCAGTGCAAGCTTGGTTACACTGCAATATCTTCCAGTCAATGCATAAATAGTAAGTTAATTTAATTATCACTATAATAAATTAAAAATTAATTAATCGATTGTCTCCAGGCAATTTACTTGAACCTTGCGAAAGGAATGATGACTGTCTAGAGCTCTGGCATTTTGAGTGCTCAAAGGAAAAAAAATGTGTTTGCAAAGCTGACAATGTCGCCGTCGGAAATTCTACGTGCTTGCCACTTCTGGGTGGAATTTGCTGGCAAGATGATCAATGTAGAGCTGAAAATTCTCTTTGTGATGATTACCATTGTCGTTGCAAACCTAACTTCATTTCTGTTGCCAGTAATAAGTGTGTACCCGATTTTTGATCTTTTTTTTCTCTGAAACTATCAGGAATACGAGAAAATTATAAGAGTAAAAAAAGTTGACAAATTGGCTTTAAAATACGGAAAAATTTTCTTTTTTAATAAACTTTTCATCAGAAAAAAGTTTTCTTTGTTAGGCATGAAAAAAACTGTGTTTTTGGACCTTTAATCTCATTTATATCTCAGATAGCTCACATTTAATTTAGTATTTTTTCAGATATTGATAGTAGACATTATAAATTGTTAATGATTTAAGAAAAAAATAATTTTTCAAGGTCAAAATTAATTGTAATCTATGTTTTAAATTAAAATAAAGTGTTTTTTCTGTTGTAAATTGTCATAGGTTGATTTAATTTTCACACAATGACTAATTTTTTTATCAAAATTAATTTTCAAATCACAATTTCATTTCCGATAGATAAAGCCGTTTTCCAAATTTATATCTTTTACAAAATATACTATCATCAAGCTTTTTCAGCTCAACAATCGCCCGTTTTTTATCCAACTTTTCATCATTAAACAATTTCTGCATTTCCGCAATTGTCATTGATTCATCAGTCTCGCTGTCAAACTCTTCAAGTCTTCCATAATTGGAACTCAAATTATCTTCAATCTCAGAATTGACATCCTTCAACAGCGATTCCGTTGCATCACGATCAAAATCGACAAACTCCGAATTATCACCCTCTCTATTGGAACCGCTGAGTACTCTGTTGTCATCAGTAGATTCCTTTTTTTTCCCTACGATATTCAAGTTGATAACGATACGTCGAGGACTCTCATCACTGTCAGACCCATCAGAATCATAAAAAGCTTGATCTTGCCCGATCTTGTCAGACCGTCCGATTTCCATCAATTCCTCCGCAGTTTTGTTTTTCCAACTTTCGACATTAGAATTAGAAGTTTCCGGTAAGAAACTTTTGGACACCCAAGAAGCGCACGTCAATGCATTCCTAATAACGCACCTGTTCTTCGACGGTTCTTGATGATGCAAACACAGCTGCGTTGAAGCTATAACACTAAAATCGAGTCCATAATCGTCTAGCCCGACAACTCTTTTAGGATCAATCAAGTGTCTCGATAATCTCAAAAGCACTTTTAGCTTTTTAGCGTGCTTCAGGTAAATCACATCAGCTGATAATAACTTTCCGATGATTGACTCGCGAGCTTCTTCGTTTGAAATGTCGCCGTCATCCCAAGTGATCCCGTACTTCGGATAGAAAATGTTCAAGTACGCTTTTTTAAAATAGTCTGATAACTTTGAAAACGAACATGGCGGCTCGACTACATGAGACTCCTGCTTTCCGACTTTGAAACCCTCTAATGGGACGATGCAGTATTCTTTTAAGATAAATTCGTTGTTCGTGATGTAATAGCCAGTGAAATCGATAGCGTATTGCATTTTTTTATAATTGATTTGATTTTTTTAAGAAAAGTTCCTTTTTCTCTTCTATATAAAGAAAAAATTATTTGAAAAATTTTTATAAATTATTTTTATACTCACCGAAATGTTGAACCATCTTGAATCATGTCGTGGCTGCCATTACTCTGTTGACAATCATATGGCAATGATTTGTAGTAGGTTTTACTGAAGACTATTTCGAGTAACGCCATCTAGCGAGAAAAGTTAAAAGTTTGGTGCTTAAAAACTCTTGTGGTAACTTATTGAGCGGTAAATTTAAATTTTTAACCATTTTTTTTTTTTTTTTTGTAGTAACTAGATACACATATTATGTAAGTATTAAATTTTCTAATAAATAACACCGAAGAGATCAAGAAAAAGTGGAAAAACTTTAATAAGGTCACATTATTATATCACTTTGATAGTTTTTACAATTTGAATATCATTAAACATATGATGACGTGCAATAGAAGAAGAAATAAAGAAAGACATTGAGATTTTTGAGAAGACATGCATTTATTTAAGCACAAATAGGAATTTTAATAGAAACAAGATAATGAATCACCACCAGGTGCATTTTTCCGCAGAGTTCATATTAGAACCAGCTGGACATTCGAAAGCATCTGAAATTTCAGGGATATTCTTCATCATGGTCATCATCGAATAGTCCAGAATGTTCCCGTTTTTGAATGGAACAGGAAGCTTCTCCGTTTCAGCCCGGAAATTGCATAAAGAATTTGCGAACGATATCCAGAACAGTTGGTCAGCGGTATAGGGTAAGTCAGGTAAGCCCAATTCTGGGCCAACGTCAACTGTGAGCTGTTTATAGGCATAGTAGGCTGCACGGAATCCGAAATACTGGGCAATGATATCATCTATGATGCCTTCGGCAAACTAGAAAGTAATGACAGTACTTTTAAGCTTAGAATTTAAGCAAAAAAAAAATTATAATAGTTGACTGCTTACTGCGTGTTTCAACATTGGATCGTCGATGCCCTGACCCAAGTTTTGGAAGCACTTCATCTGGTCATTGGGATTTTCCATTTGTTCGGTCCAGGTTTTTCCAAGGTTCTTCAGCGAATTGAACATTTCTCGAGCCATGTGGCTGCCGGCCGCACCAAAGTTTACGTACAATGGATGATCCTCATTGAAAATTGGGCTTGGTATCATCGTGATCGGAAAATCTAAAAATGAATTCCCAGATTATAATCCCAGGAGAACTAACAAATAGCGTGAAAGGATCATCAAAAAACGTACACAAGTGATTCTCGTGATTCTTCGGCATCCCAAAATCATAAATCGGACCGGCACTGTCTTTCATGAGTTCCTCAACGACTTTCTGGCTGTTCTCCTTCTTCATCACAAAAGCGTTCATATTCATCAATGACTTGAGGAAGTTTTCCTTGTCAACATTCGCGTCTGCATAGAATGCATCTAATTCGTTCTTGTCACCAAATTTCTTTGAACTTCCTATGGTGTAATTTAACGCGTTTAAAATCTCAACTGCTTTGTTCTTCTCATCGTCAGTCAACACCTTGGACTCCTGGGCCATTTCTATCATCTTGGCCTTCAGCATAGAGAACATCACTTCGATAAGTTCCTTGCTGGAGGGGAACTGCTCCATGATCCAATCTTCGATGCCGTACCACATAAAGTCTTTGGTCAATCCTTCGCAGAACTCCTTCCGCGGCATTTCGGAGAAATTGATCTGCTTCATGAAATGGCGGTGAATCTCCTTGAACTCTTCCGTCAGAAAAGGCATCGAGTACTGGAATCCCTTCCAGATAGCGTAGGAAGCTTGTACGCGTTTTGGCGTCTCGTTCATCACCTTGATGAACTCCTTCAGAGCTGCTGGATTCTCGACGGTGATGATAGTCTTGTGACCGGGTTCCACGAAAGGCGTGAGAGTCTTCTCGACAAACTTGGCCCAGTCAATGCCTGGGAATTCTTTCTGCATGTCTTCGATGGTCATGTCTTCCATCTTACCTGGGTTTGGTTTCAAGGTAGCATCGTAGAGCTTCTTCTCGAACTGGAACACTGGGTCGAGCTCCTGCTCGCTAGCCTCGTCAGTAGCTCCGAGAAGTCGAGCTGCTACGATCATGTAGTCACCGTAGTGCTGGTTGTAATCTGCATTTGCTTTGAATTCGAACAAGCTAGTGGGCAACTAATTAGGAAATGATTTGGAACTGAAATTACTATGGGTAATTGTAAATTCATCAAAAGTACTTACATGAAGCATATGATGCATAGTATAGCTATCTCCTGACTTAGACTGAAGTTCCCAATCTATAAAAGGAGTGGTGCTTAACCCAACTTGCTTAACCTCGCCCATCCATTTCATCCAGCAGAAATCAGCTTCGTTGAACTTATCACCTGCCGTAGGCGGCCAAGCATCCACAACAAAGCTCTTGAAAAGCTCCAGAGCTTCGTCTCCTCTAGCATCTGGGATAGAACATTCCATCATTTCCAAACATTCTTCACAAACTCACAATCAATGATACTCACTTTCGTCCATACACGTGGTGTAAAAATCATGGATCAGTTTGTGCGCCTTAGATTTTTCCTCCCCAGTAGTCTTGTGAATCGTGTGATCCATCATAGAACCTCTCATAGCACTCCACAATTCTAGACTGGTCCAGGGTGTTTCCTTCCAATTCCCGCAGGCATACTTAAAGAAGTTGTCGCAAGGTTTCACATTCTCGTCCCGATTTTCTAGGATTTCAGCAGCTGGAACCAGAAATCTTTGTCAGTATAATTTACTGATACCGTTAAGGAAGAAGTGCTTACCCTTCTCCAGACGCCCGACCTGGCAATCCTTATCAACGCATTTGTGGGTTGGACCTGAAAGATTTTAGGATGAAATCTTTTCTTGGATTTGCGAATTAAATGATACTTACCTACGGGAGATGTGAGGCTCGCTCCGTTGATGATTGGAAGGATCCAAAGGACTCCAATGCTTCCTACCAGCAGCAACCTGTAATAGGATTTAAGAAGGTAGTTTATTTTTTTAATTATTAATTAAAATTACATTAGTAATAAACATCCTTAGAAAAACTTGAAAATTTTGAGCCAGAAAAAAAATTTTAAATAAATAATAATTTTTTATAAAAGAAAGAATTTAAATTTTGTTATTCTTAATTAATTCTTTTTATTAAGGATATATAAATATAGTTATTGGTTTATTATGATATTAAGAGCTCTAGTAAAAGAAGAGATAAAAAATAATCTATTGTAACTATTTAGTATAAATAAGAGATGAAAATTAGATAGAAGGAGGGAAAGTAAGTGGATAGCTGAGGAAATAGTATTCGACGGTATTTAGGACTTGGCGTACTTACTTACAAGATTTACTCATTATGTTACTTAAAATAACTTCTAGATGAGTAATAAGTGTCTAAGTCACGTCGTTTATATAGTGAGTATACTTAAAAAATAAGATCTTGAAGAAAAAGTCAAGGGTAGGAAGTCATACTGTGAGTCTTGCTCTTATCTGCGGAAAACAGACAGAGGTCAAGTGTCCGGCTGGTTAAGGCCATAAGATATCATCAATATTTCTTTAATAACGTATTCAATTGCATAAACGGAATTATATAACACGAAAATAACATAGCTGGCCATTTTTTCGGTTGTCATGGTCAAAGGAATGGTGTTGATTTTTCTTCGGTATTTTAAACGAATATACTGAGATTAAATTGGTAAATTGAATCATTGGAGGCTATTATCCTGTTGAGATTGACGGTAAGTCAAGGGTAATAGACGGAATCAAAGCAATTTTATGTCTTCAGTGTATCAAGTAGGTATGTTCTAGTAGCGGCTAAATCAAGAACGTTTTGTCAGATTCAATTGCATCTGACAATTATATTGTCCAGATAAATAATATAAAAAGCACAGTCAGAAAGATAAATTATATTGTTAAAGATATTAAAATTTTTTTTTTAATCGATTAATTGATATTTTTACAGAAAAAAGTGGTTTAATGGCTCATAGAGGGGATTTATCAAGTCCTTATGAAGGGACAAACACAATAACTTTTGAAAATATATATTTTTTAACCCAATCTATTTTTTAATCGCCTTATCTATCTTATGAGAAGCTGCGGATTGAAAATGGTAGCTTAATATTGTTTTGTTTAGTTATAATTAATTTTTTTTCGGCTGGCAGTTCAAAAAATTTCGGGTCTTTTGAGCAGCCATATATAATTATTTATTTGTAAATAGAGGTTAAAGACAGCTGCAAACTATACTAAATAGTTCTTAAGCCCGGCGACCGCCGGTAATACAGTTCCCTATTGTGTGTCTTTTTATGATTTACTTTAAACTCAAGCGGGCGTTTAATTGGTATTTAAATAGATAATTTATTCTTGATTAACTCATTATAATTATCTTTTAAATTTATTCTTACAGTGTACAGTAGATAATTATTTTTTTTTACTGACGTTTGACATAAAATTATTGAAAAATTTTTAAAAATTCTCTTAAAATAAGATTCCTAAAATGAAGGACCCTTAATGATCACAACCAAGAACATTTATTCTTAGGATTGATATGAGAACCAAGAGGACACTGAAAATCAATCGAAATCTGCGGATCATTAGCCAAGATACTCATAAGCATGTATTCAAACATCGTCAGCTTTTGATCTCCGTGAATGCGCGGCTGGTTTGGCTCGACGTTAGCAAAACAAACGGGGTGGACGAACGAGATCCAGAACAGCTGTTCTTGAGTGTAACCCAATTGCGGTAGCTTTGGCTCCACTCCAGATTTTTTAACAAAATTTTGATAAGCTGCATAGACAGCGCGGAATCCAACGTTGTAGCTGATGTAATCTCTCTCTGCGTGCTGTCTTATCTAAAAATCCAAATCAGGAAATGACAATTGATTCAATATTCGATCAAATTGTTAGAATATACTCACAGCTTTCTTCAGATTAGGCTCTGAGATCTTCACAGTTTGGTTACGGAAGCAATCCAGGTGATCATTTGCAAGCTCTGTTCCATTGTCTAGCCACTGTCTTCCAAGATGACTCAGACTTTTGAACATTTCGCGAGCCATGAATGCTCCAGCAGCGCCGTAGTTCAAGTACATTGGACGGTCTGCGTCAAATGACTCGCTTTGTATCATATTCAGCGGAATGTCTAGAATTCAACAATGTTAGATTAAAAATGGTTATTTTTTACACTTTTATAAAACTTTCGTCAAAAGCACTTTCATCTACAGGCCAATTTAAAAATTAATGAAACCGCAATAAATATGATCAGCGTAGATAGAATGAAAAAATATTGTGATTTATTAATCCTGTGATATTTCGACAAAAACGTGAAACCCATATTTTTGTGTCAGATTGCAGGATTGCAGTTATTTTGATGGATTTAACTGAGACCACTCGTCATGTATTTGGAAGACTTCTGTCAATATTGTTGCTTTTTATATAATTTATGTAGCTAATTTTTTTTTTTTCAAGATTAGCCTATAGGATTCCACCAAAAATAAATTAAGATAATTACATACAGTTTTATACAATTATATATAGTCATATATAATCATATATACTGCCATAGGCCAGAAAATAAAAAAAACTGGGTACATCGAGGGCTCGAACCGCGAACTTTGCGCTTGTCAGTCTTCCAAGCCACCCAGTTGTCCAAGATCTTTAATTGATATTATATGCTTAAATGACACTCAAGTATACCCTATCAAAAATATCCATGTAGGTTTGTATGGGGATCCATGGGAATCCACATGAGAAAGTTAAGATTCACATAGGAGATATGGAATCCATAAGATTCAATGTAGGAATATGGATTTCTATATGGATTTATATAGGAATCCACATAGGAAGGGGAATTCATGTTTCCACAGTGTTCCTATGTGAATTTCTCATGAGATTATCCATGTACCCATGCCTTATTCCCATGTGGATTTCAATATAAATCCATGCATTCCTACATTGAATCTTATGGACTCCTCATATAAATTCAGTTTCACTTACAAAGATGCCCAGCGTAGTTATCCGGTAATCCTGGAAAGTGAATACCTTTCACCATATACTGAAAGAATTCCTTGTGAACTGCGTTACTATACTCCTTTTTGGCCAAGAAGACGTTCAACTTCAAGATAGTCTCCAGGTAATTGTCTTTAAAAACTTCAACTCCTTCATAAAACTTCTCCAATTTCTTAGAATCAGTCAAGTTTGACGACGGACCAATTGTAACTGGCATATCTTCCAAGATATCGATTCCCTCTTCCTTATCCTCTTTGTTCAAGATCTTAGACTCCTCGATAATCTTGACCATCTCCTTCTTGATAGCCTTGGTCATCTCATCGATAACCTCCACACTCTTCTTGTGCTTGGTTAGATACATATGCTGGATAGCATACTGCGCATACTTCTTGACCGCTTCTTCGCAAACAACTTTTCTCGGCTTTTCCGGATGACCCAGTTGACTGTGGAAGGTCTTGTGTACTTCTCTGACCTCTTTATTGAAGAACGTAGCGCCAAATTGCGTGGCCTTCCATATAGAGTAGTGAGCATAAACCAGTCCAGGTGTCTTTTTCATCAGCTTTTCAAACTTGGTCAAAGCTTCGTCATTCCAAACTGTCAAGACAGGTTTCTCATTCGGATCAGCAAAAGGCATCAAGACTTCGTCGACCAACCGCTTCCAATCGATACTCGGCCAACGCTTCTGGAGATCTTCAACGGTGATGTCATCCGTGTGATACTTACTTTCTGGAACTGTTATTTCAGCCAACTTGCATTCAAAGTCATACATATTCTTCAGATGCTTTTGGTCGACGTCTTCACCCATGAGTTGTCTTACGTCGGTGATGTACTGGAGGTACATTTCTCTCTGCGTCGCGTTATTGCCATCTACCAAGGGATCGAAGTACGACGGAGCCATCTGGAAGGTAAGTTTAGTCAGTATATTCTCTATTGTAATTCAATCAACAAGTACCTGGATGGAATATCTCAAAGAACTGTTCTGAGCATCATAAGTAGGACTGGGTTTGAAGTCCAAGAAGAAGTTGGTGCTGAATCCAAGCTTCTTAGCAGTGGCTGTGAATCCAATCCAATCGAAGTTTGCCTCGTTTGGCTTGTCTTCTTTGAAGACCAACGACCTGAGGAAGGTGTTCAGGTGCAAGATGAGCATATATTCATCTTTCTCTCCAAGAGAATCTGGAAGAACCCATTTAATCAGTCTTAGAATAATTCTTCATGGTTGAAATCAATTGTCTTACTAGGATCCATGCAGGTCTTGAAGAGATCATCAGCAAACTGGTAGGGATTGAAAGAAGAACTTGTCATATCCTTTATCAAAGTATCAGCGTCTACTCTTGCCAGTGGGTCCATTTCATGGTTTTGGATCCATTCAGGCTGGTTAAACTTCCCACAGACGAATCGGAAGAAATTGTCGCACGGTTTCACGCTGACATCGCGGAATTTGATGATTCTCTCCGCTTCATTGTTGCAAATGACGCTGCTGCATACTGCTGCTTCAAGTACTGCAAGTTCAAAATCGATTAGTCGTATTCTGATAGATCATCAAGGACGACTTACCTGGGATTGAACCAGCACAAATGGCTAGGAATGTCAGAATCCAAATCATTGTGATGTATGTTGACCGAAAAACTAGAACTGGATCAGCTTCGAACGTCCCAGAGCGGAAGATTCAACTAAGGATTAGTGAGCGCTTTCCTCAAAACTTATAGTAGCTGTGCTACCAAATTGATAATTGTTCAAATAATTGCATGAGTCACAATGATATTATCTCATTGAAATGATTGTTAGTTACGGAAGTGTTAAGTTTTGTCAGCTAATTCAATTTAGCGGACGTCATTCCGTAATTGACGTTGACGTAAGCTCAATTGGCAAACGGCTAGAAAGAATACGTCCGGCACGAATTCCTTACTTTTGGATCTAAGGAGGATCAGTTTGGCAAAATAACAACATGATAAAATATTGAAATCATTTATTTGAAACGTGCAACCATAAATTGTAAAACAACTAATTCTAAAATTTGCTAAGCCTCTAAACTACCACCAGGTACATCTTTTCTCAGGATTGAGGTTAGACCCAGCAGGACACTTGAAATCCGCAGCTACTTCAGGTATATTGGCCATGAGTTTAACCATCAGAGCTTCCCGGTTGACTTTGTTGAGGTCAGCCTCGCTCAACTTTGAATAAACAGGACACAGCCCTTGGAAGAACGACATCCAGAAGAGCTGTTCAGGAGTGTGAGTCAGTCCAGTAAGAGGTTGCTCGGCTCCATTTTTGGCGACGTAGTTCTGGTAAGTAGCCCTAGCAGTTCGAAGCCCCATGAAGTAGCTGATCATCTCTTCGACAGTTCTGTTGCGTAGCTGCAAGGAAAAAGGAACATCAGAATTGCGATATCAAGCTTTGATCAAAGGATTCTTACGTTGGGCTTGGAAGCGTCAGTCAGGTTAACGAATTCGTTGCGGAAGCAATCAACGCGGTCGTTAGTGACCAATTCCCCAGCTTCCGTAGACTTCCGACCAAAGAAAGATATCGACTTGAAGATATTCGTCGCTATGTAGCTCCCACTGGCGCCCAAGTTCATGTACATCGGACGGTTCGCATTGAAGTATGGGCTGGACACCATCGAAATTGGTATGTCTATTGGAACCAACGGAATCATTAGATCCAAATCATTTAAATCGAGGCTAAACAAAGTTGAAGGACAACTTACACAAGTACCCATTGAAGTTCTCTGGAATTCCAGGATGGATCGTCTTGACGATGAAGAACGGGAAGACTTCAGACTGGACCTTGTTGCTCAGTTCCTTCTTCAGCTTGAACAGATTCAAGTTCAAGATCGTCTGTAAGAAGTTGTCTTCAACAATCTGAGCATCCGCGTAGAACTTCTCCAATTCTTTCGGATCCAAAAGTTTCTTCGAGGGTCCAATAGAGTAGACCATCTTCTTAACGACCTCAATAGCACCGTTCTTCTCCTCTTCAGTCAGCGTCTTGGAATCCTTCACCATTTTAATCATGTCTTCCTTGACAGCCGCCACCATGGTCTTGATGGTTTCCTGGCTGCTTTTGTACTGGTCCAGGTACAGCGAGTTTACAGCATACTTGGCATACTTTTTGACAACTTGGATACACACGTCTTCCACCGGAGCTTCAGTGTAAGCTACCTGCTTCTGGAAGGCCTTCTGCTCCTCCTGGTACTCATTAGGCAAGAACGGCAGCGTGTACTGGACCAGCTTCCAAATGGCGTAGTTAGCTTGCACGCGCTTGGGAGTCTTCTCAATCAGCTTAACGAATTCCGTTAGGGCAGTCAAGTTCCTGGCTGTCATGATCGGCTTCTCCTCAGGGTCCACAAAGGGTTTCAAGGTCTTCTCAATGAACTTGCTCCATTCGATCCCCGGGATTTGCTTTTCAAAGTTCCCTAAAGTTACTTGTGGTGTGTAATCGGAAGCGTTCCTGCCGTTTATTTCTTGGAGCTTAGCTTCGAAATCAAATGCGTCGTTCAGTTCCTTGCTGGCGTTGTCACTGGCGCCCATTAATTTTGCTATCTTAACCATAAACTCGGTGTAGATTGACTTCTGCTTAACGATTTCGTTGCTTTTGGTGCCATTGAAATGAGTTCTAGCCATCTATCCAAAAAGACCGCAAGTATTATAAACAAATTATTCCAATTAGATTGATAGTATTCTTACCGTAACAGAATACCTGATGACCTTCTTCTTGTCCTTGTAGATCGTCGAAGATTCCCAATCCAAAAAGTAATTTATATTGTAACCGACCTTCTTAGCATTGCTAGTGAAATCAATCCAATTGAAGTCATCTTCCTTCCAATTATCATCTTCCAACAACGGCCAGCTTCCCAAGCTCTTGATGATCTTCTTCATCAGCTCCAAAGCTTGCTGTCCTTTGGCATCTAAGCAGAACCAAGTCACCAATTTTTGCTACTAGATCAATCAAAGCTACTTACTCTTGTTGACGCAGGTCTTGTAGATGTCATCAATCAGCTTGTACGGTTTGGCATCAGAAGAAGTTCCCTTCTGGATCAGCTTCTTGATGTTCTCGTTCCTCAGGACCTCCAGCTGACTGTAATCATCAGCCTTGTCGGATTTTTTGTAGCCTCCACACGCGAATCCGAAGAAGTTGTCGCAAGGATTTATGTTGACGTCCCGGTATCTTGTAACTCGAGCCGCTGCATCGAATCAAACAGTTACTAGGTTGATTTTTTTGATCAAGAACTTCAACAACTCACCAATTTCTGATTGTTCCACCGAGCAAGTGTTCCCAGTGCACTTGTGCGACGCCACTGCTTTAAAACAATCAACATAACCTAGTGAACAATTAACGAAACAGTGAGTTACTTACCGTCATTCTGCGTAGTATCGACCACCGCTGCTGAAGAATTCGGAAGAAATACCAATCCTATCACAGTTAGCAGCAAAACGCCAGAAATCCTTAAAGCGACGTTTAAGTTTTAGTTTCCAAATTTTTTTGGTATAAAAGGCAAAAAACTTACTTATGAAACAGGTTAGGCTTCATTGTGGATCAAGTTAAACTGTCACTCTACGAACTCCTCGCCATGAATAGCAAGCATCGAGCACCTCACGTTGTTAAATACCAGTTAAGGCGCTTGCCATTCATTGAATAATCCCCTATTAGCTCATTTAAATAAATTCCCCCTGTAAAATAAGACTCAAGGGCAAAGCACAATGTCATTCTAGAACTATTAGCACGAAATAGAGCACTGACAAAGATCTCATTGCTTTGATCTTGTTCATTATAAACTTTCCACAACTCACAATTTCCGATCCCAAATTGCCAGATATTTCTTCCTTTGAATAGACTCATCAAAATGCTCTTACAATTCGAATAAATAACACACTCTTGAATAAGAACCTTTATTTTCATAACAGCTATTTGTACATTAATTTCACAACAATATCAAACTATATCGGACGTCGCTCACCACCAGGAACATTTACGCTCCGGATTGAGCTTAGAGCCTACAGGACACTGGAAATCCTCGCCGATTTCGGGAATGAACGACAGGATCCTCATCATTATGTACTCAAGGTTGTTGAATTTACCGTCAATGGGAGGATAGTTGACCGTAGCAAAGTCGTCGCAGATGGTTTGAGCGAATCCAATCCAGAACAACTGCTTTCCAGTGTACGGAACACCTGGCAGTGGAGGTTCTGCACCAAGTAGGTGTTCGTAGGTTCCATAAGCCGCTCTGGAACCGCGAAATCCGAGATACTGTGTGATCAGCTCCTCGGGCTTGGTGCGACGAATCTGAAAAGAGGACTTATAGAGGAAGTTCAAGTGGACTTTCAGTGGAACTTACGTAATATTTTGCCTCCTCTGCTGGTAAGTCGGAGTATTGACGGAAACATTCGAGATTTGGAGGTTCTTCGCCTTGCATTAGAGCTGTGAAGTTGGTTCCGATGTGGACCAGTGGTTCAGCAAGGTTGAAAGCGATGTAACTACCGGTAGCACCAAAGTTCAAGGACATTGGACGGTTTTGGTTGAACAATCTGCCGGGAACCATCGATGTAGGGATATCTATCAAGAATTACAATGATTTAGCGACTCAGTTCAAGATTTGGGACGTAAGTAATATCTTATCGAAGTAACTTACATAGAATATCATTCTGCATTTCCGGCATTCCTGAATTGACGGAATAATCTTCATTAAACTTATCCACTTCCAATTCCGTTTCAATTGAAAACTCCTTCTTCATCTTAAAGACATTCAAATTCAAGACAGTCTGAAGGAAGTTACCCTTAACAACCTTCGCATCTGCATAGTACTTCCTCAATTCCTTCGAATTCCCCAGTTTCGCCGTAGGCCCAATAGCCAAAGGAATATCTTCAACAGTCTTAATCCCATCCATTTGAGCTTCCTTGGTCAAAGTCTTCGACTCTCTGATCATCTTGATCAATTCCTGCTTGATAGACTCGCCAATGCTTCTAACCATCGCTTGGCTGCTCTTGTGCTGATCCAAGTACTTGTACTCCAAAGCTATTCCCAAGTACTTCTTGACCATATCAACACAGTACTCTTTCTTAGGAGCTTCTAGATGCCCTACAATTCTATGAAAAAGCTTCTGCATTTCTCTAAATTCATCCGTCAAAAAAGGAATCGAGTACTGGACCACCTTCCAGATCCCGTAGGTTGCTTGCACTCGTTTCGGAGTATTGGACATCAGCTCAGCGAACTTCGTCAGAGCATAATCATTCCACACTGTCAAAATCGGGTTATCAGTGTCTACCCAGGGGATCAGAGTCTTGTCGACGAACCGCTTCCAGTCGATACTAGGCCAGCGTTTCTGCAGCTCTTCCACCGTGACGTCTTGAGGAAAGTTGCCACTTTCCGTCGCATTGATGTTCGAAAGCTTTTCCTCGAATTCAAAGGCATCTTCCATGTCTTTGACGAAGTCGCCAGCTTCTGCTCCAAAAATACGAGCTATCTTCAACATATAATCACCGTAAATCTGCCTCTGCAGAGTTTTCTTCTCAGTCATCGCAGGATCAAAGTAGCTCTCCGCCATCTGTTGACACAACCACTGAAGAATCTTCAAATTGATTCGACCCAAAACACTTACCATCAAAGAATAGCTTAGAGTCCTTCGACTCCCAACATAAGTTAGCTTAGGAACCCAATCCAAGAAAAAATTAACGTCAAATCCAGCCTTCTTGGCATTGCTAGAAAAGTCGATCCAGTTGAATCCAGATTCCTTCCACTGGTCTCCTTCTAAAACCGGCCAGCGACCCAAATTCTTGATGATCTTCTTCAGCAGCACCAAAGCTTGCTGTCCTTTTGCATCTAAGCAGAACCAAGTCAATCTTCGCTCCTTTGTCAATCAAAACTACTCACCTTTGTTGATGCATGTCTTGTAGAAGTCCTCGATGAGTCTGTAAGGTTTGAAATCAGAAGCTCCCTTCTGGATAAGGTGGTCTACGTAGTCAACCTTAGTCAAGGGATGAGCTTCAGGTTCCTTCGCTTTCTTGGCATTCCCGCAGACGAATCGGTAGAAGTTGTCACAAGGGTTGATTGAAGCGTCCCGAATTCTGACGATCCGCACAGCTGCATCAGAAGATGATGAGGAAAATTGGGTATTATGGAGGTAAGGACTTACCAGATTCTAGTTGCTCCACGGAACAGGCGTCGGTAGTGCATGAGATAGTAAAAGCTATTGGTGTTATTGAACAAAGTGTGATAGCTATGAACAAGGATCCAATCCAGCAATATGTTCTAGGGAATAAACATTGATTAGCACAAGGTTTCACTGGATCACTTTGATAGAACTTACAGAAGCATCGCAAGAATTTAGTGTCACTCTGTGTTACTGACAGATTGCTTACGTTGAATAGCAGAAACCTGATCCTCCAGTTTGTTAAATAGTAGGATTGTGAGTTATGATAATTGGTGTTAAAGCATAACATTATTACCTTATTAAAGTAAATTTGTGAGTGACTTTCGTCAAGAGCAAGGACAAACTCATCATCATCATCATCAATGATATCATATTCTGTCATCGTCTGCATTGTTATAATCATATGGACGCCTGTAAAGCAGTGACTCATCCAGTATGGATCATCAGTATCTAGGTCATCTAAATTTTTGTGTTGATCTAATTAGAATTTAGTTGATTGGTTAGTCAATTCTAGATTGAGTCAATGCTATTACAGATGTTATATCTAGCATAATAACTAATCAAAACAAAAACAGTTGAATCGTTTATTTAAAATTCTACCAAGCTAATTACATGAAATACACTCTAGATTTCATCAATATAAAACTACCAAGGACATTTGTGAAGAGGATTAAGGGTAGAACCAAGAGGACATTGGAAAGCCTCTGAAATCTCGGGAACAGTTGCCAGGACCTTCGTCATCATGTACTCAACAGCATTGAATCGGTTGTTGTTGATGTCCCTTTGTTCCTTCAGCTCGTAGTATTGCGAGCAAGTTGACTGCGCGAAGGATATCCAGAACAATTGGTCTACGCTGTAAGGCAACCCTGGAAGAGAAGGTTCTGCGCCATGTTGGGCGGTGTAGGTCCTGTAAGCGGCCCATGAATTGCGGAATCCAAGACGCTGCACTATCAGGTCTTCATGGAATCTATTGCGTTCGAGCTATAAAAAATCGAAGAAGTTAGAACTGAAGATTAGGATACTTGGCTGCAAGCTTGAAGATGCTTACGTTTTTTCGCTTTGTCTCGGAAGATAGGTCATCGTAGTAGTGTCGGAAACATTCAAGCTGTTTTTTTACGGAATCTTGATTCCGATTTTCTCTGGGGAAGAAAAAGTCGGCGAGTCCGGTAGAGATATAAGTGCCACTGGCGCCGAAATTCATGTACATTGGTCGAGTTTCATTGAAGAAGGGTCCGGGAATCATGGTTGTTGGAACGTCTATATAAAAGAAGTTTGAAAAGGCGATTTTTTAATAATTTTATGTCAAACGTCAGTAAAAAAAATAATTATCTACAGTACACTATAAGAATAAATACCAATTAATCGATTTAAAAAAAAATTTTATATCTTCAGACTTACGTAAGCGACCCTCGACAACATCCGGGATCCCTGGTTCCTCTGAATCAACACACAAAGAAGGTTTCTTCATTTTGACCAAATTCAAGTTCAAGACCGTCTGCAGTAAGTTATCTTCCACAACTCGTGCACCTGCGTAGTATTTCTCCAACTCTTCAGAAATAACCAATTCCTCCATCGGCCCAATGGTCACTGGAGTTCCCTTAACAGCTTTGACACCCTTATCTTTAGTCACACCATCCATAGTTTTCGAGCTTTCCACCATTTTTATCATCGCGTTTTGAATATACTCGACCATTTTTCTGACAATCACCTGGCTGCTCTGATACTGGCTCAAATGAAGGTACTGCAAAGCGATTCCTGCATACTTCTTGACCATTTCAACGCAAGAATCCTCTAGAGGCTGCTCAACATATCCAACTTCCTGATAAAACTTCTTTTGCACATTCCTGAACTCCTCAGTCAGATAAGGAACTGAATACTGGACAATCTTCCATATTGCGTAGTTAGCTTGTACGCGTTTCGGAGTCTTGGCTAAAAGATCAACAAGTTCCGTAAGAGCAGCAGGATCCGAAACCATCAAAAGAGGCTTGTCCGCCTCCGTGAAAGGTGTCAGAGTTTTCCCAACGAATTCGATCCAATTAATACTGGGCCACTTTTGCTGAAGCTCTTTGATGGTAAAGTTGCTCATTTGACACCTTTCGGTACTTATATTCAGTAACTTTCTTTCAAAGTCTAATGCTTCTGCCATGTCTTTAATAAAGGTTCTAGTTGCCCCCAAAAGTTCGGCTATTTTTAATCTATATTCCATGTAAATTTGCTTCTGCGAAGGTTTCTTCGCCATGAAGGATTCGATGTCAGTTGGAGACATCTGTCAACATCAACATCTAAGAATCCATTTCAAGCTACGATTTGAAAAAAATTAACTTACCTTGAGAACGTATTCAAATTTTGATAGTCCATGACGCTTTGGTTCCCAATCCAGGAAGTAATTGATGTTGTAACCAACCTTCTTGGCATTGCCTGTGAAATCAACCCAATTAAAGTCATCTTCCTTCCACTTATCACCTTCCAACACCGGCCAGTTCCCCAAACTCTTGATGATCTTCTTCATCAGCTCCAAAGCTTGCTGTCCTCTTGCATCTAAGCAGAACCAAGTCACCAATCTTTGCTACTAGATCAATCAAAGCTACTTACTCTTGTTGACGCAGGTCTTGTAGATGTCATCAATCAGCTTGTATGGTTTGGCATTAGAAGCAGTTCCCTTCTGGATCAGCTTCTTGATGTTCTTAGTAGCCATGGCTCCTAGGTTGTAGCCATCAGCCTTGTCGGCTTCCGTGAAGCCTCCACAGGTGAATGCGTAGAAGTTATCACAAGGATTGATGCTGCTGTCGCGGTATTTTATCACTCGGGCTGCTAAATCGGACGGCTGGCTGGAAGAGCTTGGAAGGAAGCTGATAAATCCTATCACAGCTAAGAGCAAGACACGCTCGTTGAACCTGGAACCATCATCGCTTATCAATGATTCAATATTACACTTGTGCAAAAGCTTACTTTCGAAATGGATTGTGTTCCATCTTGGAGTATCAACTGGTCTGCTTGTACTGAACCAAAGTTCCAATTTGCTGCTTCTTAAGTAGTAGCCGTGAGGCACGATAATTCTAATTGAATTAAATCATTATCTTATTACCTAGAATTGCAAAAAGCAGAATGCAAACATAACAACCTTGGATTAATAACAACCAATAAAGATTTTTAAACTCTAGATTCTTTGGATAGGATTTTGAAATAAGCTAAAATTTTCCACTTGCAATCATAAATTTATTTCTTTAAGCGTTCACGAGTTCCAGATCTACAACCAAGAACATCTTTTTACAGGATTAAGCCGAGACCCATAAGGACACTGAAAGTCCGCTGAAATTTCCGGAATATTAGCTAGAATCTTCATCATCTTATAGTCAACGACACCTTGGCCAAAAGAGCCACCATCAAGCGGGTCATTGGATTTCTTGTACTCGGAGCAGAACGACTGAGCAAAAGATATCCAGAACAGCTGCTCTTGGGAGTAAGGGATTCCTTCTAAAGCTGGTTCAGTTCCGTACTTGGCTACCCAGCTCTGATAAGTAGCCCAGGCAGCACGTAACCCAATGTACTGGGTAATCATGTTCCTTAGGACTTCATCTTCACTATCCTGAAACCAACAAATCAATCTAATTGGATGATCCAACAATCCATGATTAGGCTTACATTGGTAACCTTCGTTCGATCCAGGTCATCATACAGATGCGAGAAGCACTCAGCTTGCTCCCTAAGCTTTCCGGATGAGTTCTGTCCCAGGTCGACAATCGCTTCCGCGATTGCCATAGCCATGTAGGATCCTCCGGCTCCAAAGTTCATGTACATTGGTCTGTCGTTGTTGAATAGAGGGCTAGGAATCATCGAGACCTGGATATCTGTCAAAAATTCATTAATAGGATTAATGCGTTTACCATAAATTTACCGTTATAATTCTGAAATAATAGGTATTTCTGTGGTTCTATTGGCTGCAATAGTGCCGCAAATATATAGCAAAAATGCGGTACATTTATGGTTTGAATGCTGTTGATATACCGTAATTTTCCTATTTATTACGGTAAACATACAGCATTTATTCCGTATAAATACCAAATCTTTGCGGCATTTCCAAAACCGTGAGGGAATTATAACTTACATAGACGACCATCGAAGTACTCCGGAAGAGCTAGATCATGAGAGTTAAACTCATGCTGTATAACTTCAGAGAAGACCTTGTTACTGTAGTCTTTCTTCATTCTGAAGACATTGAGGTTCAAAAGCGTCTGCAAGAAGTTGTTCTTCACCACAAGCGCGTCAGCGTAGAACCTCTTCAATTCCTTCGAAATGGAAAGCTTCTCCGAGGTTCCAAAGACAACAGACATCTCAGTGATAGCCTTGATCCCCTCACGCTTAGCTTCGTCATCCAGATCAGATTCTCTAATCATCCTGATCATTTGGTTGCTCAGCGCAGTGACCATGTTCTCGATAGTCCCTTGGCTGCTTTGATAATGATCCAGGTACAGGTTGATCACCGCGTACTTGACATTAGTCATGACTATCTGAGCACACTCACTACTGAGCGGCTCCTCTGGATAGCCTACTAGTTTCAGGAACATCTTCCTTGTTCTCCGGAACTCCTCAGGCAGGTATGGAACCGAGGACTGAATCAGCTTCCAGACAGCATAGTTAGCTTGCACGCGCTTGGGAGTCTTCTCCATCAACAGAGCGAATTCCGTTAGAGAGGTAGCGTTCCACACGGTGAAAATCGGATCCTCGTTAGTGTCCACAAAAGGAATCAGAGTTTTGTCGATGAATCTGCTCCAGTCGATACTAGGCCACTGTTTTTTCAAGTCTTCCAAGCTGATGTCATCAGTCTTACTCCACTTGTTCCCGGAAATGATGTCATAAAGCTTGTTTTCGAACAGAAAAGCTTCGTTGAGCTCCTGGATGACGTTACCAATGTCTGCTCCCAACTGCCCGGCGATTTTTAGCATATAATCCGCATACATCTCTCTTTTGATGATAGTCTTCGCTTCCATTGCGTAGTCGAAGTATGACCGCGCCATCTGTTGGGTTAGATTAGCACCAAAACTACTTTACCATCACCAGAAAGTTGAATTTCTTACTTACCCTAACGGAGTAACGAAGTATCCTTTGATTGTCACGAGTGAGACGCTGTGGCACCCAATCTAGAAAGTAATTTATATCGTACCCAGCTTTTTTGGCGTTGCTACTGAACTCTATCCAGTCGAAGTCCTCTTCAGACCAATTGGGGTCCAAGATTGGCCAGTTTCCTAGGTTTTTGATGATTCCTGCCATCAGTTGAAGAGCTTGCTGGCCCATTTGCTCTAAAAAAGAGCAAGATTTAGGTGCCAGTTTTTTGAGCAAAACCCCTCCCTGATTAAAAAAAGGAATTTGATAGAATTAAAAAAATTTATATCCTCACGAATGCTATCCAATCCTGAAAATATGATTTAAAAGGATTCAACATGATTCAAATTTTTTAATTCTGTTGAATACTATTTAATTCTAAAAATATGATTTAAAAGGATTCAACATGATTCAAATTTTTTAATTCTGTTGAATACTATTTAATTCTAAAAATATGATTTAAAAGGATTCAACATGATTCAAATTTTTTAATTCTGTTGAATACTATTTAATTCTAAAAATATGATTTAAAAGGATTCAACATGATTCAAATTTTTTAATTCTGTTGAATACTATTTAATTCTAAAAATATGATTTAAAAGGATTCAACATGATTCAAATTTTTTAATTCTGTTGAATACTATTTAATTCTAAAAATATGATTTAAAAGGATTCAACATGATTCAAATTTTTTAATTCTGTTGAATACTATTTAATTCTAAAAATATGATTTAAAAGGATTCAACATGATTCAAATTTTTTAATTCTGTTGAATACTATTTAATTCTAAAAATATGATTTAAAAGGATTCAACATGATTCAAATTTTTTAATTCTGTTGAATACTATTTAATTCTAAAAATATGATTTAAAAGGATTCAACATGATTCAAATTTTTTAATTCTGTTGAATACTATTTAATTCTAAAAATATGATTTAAAAGGATTCAACATGATTCAAATTTTTTAATTCTGTTGAATACTATTTAATTCTAAAAATATGATTTAAAAGGATTCAACATGATTCAAATTTTTTAATTCTGTTGAATACTATTTAATTCTAAAAATATGATTTAAAAGGATTCAACATGATTCAAATTTTTTAATTCTGTTGAATACTATTTAATTCTAAAAATATGATTTAAAAGGATTCAACATGATTCAAATTTTTTAATTCTGTTGAATACTATTTAATTCTAAAAATATGATTTAAAAGGATTCAACATGATTCAAATTTTTTAATTCTGTTGAATACTATTTAATTCTAAAAATATGATTTAAAAGGATTCAACATGATTCAAATTTTTTAATTCTGTTGAATACTATTTAATTCTAAAAATATGATTTAAAAGGATTCAACATGATTCAAATTTTTTAATTCTGTTGAATACTATTTAATTCTAAAAATATGATTTAAAAGGATTCAACATGATTCAAATTTTTTAATTCTGTTGAATACTATTTAATTCTAAAAATATGATTTAAAAGGATTCAACATGATTCAAATTTTTTAATTCTGTTGAATACTATTTAATTCTAAAAATATGATTTAAAAGGATTCAACATGATTCAAATTTTTTAATTCTGTTGAATACTATTTAATTCTAAAAATATGATTTAAAAGGATTCAACATGATTCAAATTTTTTAATTCTGTTGAATACTATTTAATTCTAAAAATATGATTTAAAAGGATTCAACATGATTCAAATTTTTTAATTCTGTTGAATACTATTTAATTCTAAAAATATGATTTAAAAGGATTCAACATGATTCAAATTTTTTAATTCTGTTGAATACTATTTAATTCTAAAAATATGATTTAAAAGGATTCAACATGATTCAAATTTTTTAATTCTGTTGAATACTATTTAATTCTAAAAATATGATTTAAAAGGATTCAACATGATTCAAATTTTTTAATTCTGTTGAATACTATTTAATTCTAAAAATATGATTTAAAAGGATTCAACATGATTCAAATTTTTTAATTCTGTTGAATACTATTTAATTCTAAAAATATGATTTAAAAGGATTCAACATGATTCAAATTTTTTAATTCTGTTGAATACTATTTAATTCTAAAAATATGATTTAAAAGGATTCAACATGATTCAAATTTTTTAATTCTGTTGAATACTATTTAATTCTAAAAATATGATTTAAAAGGATTCAACATGATTCAAATTTTTTAATTCTGTTGAATACTATTTAATTCTAAAAATATGATTTAAAAGGATTCAACATGATTCAAATTTTTTAATTCTGTTGAATACTATTTAATTCTAAAAATATGATTTAAAAGGATTCAACATGATTCAAATTTTTTAATTCTGTTGAATACTATTTAATTCTAAAAATATGATTTAAAAGGATTCAACATGATTCAAATTTTTTAATTCTGTTGAATACTATTTAATTCTAAAAATATGATTTAAAAGGATTCAACATGATTCAAATTTTTTAATTCTGTTGAATACTATTTAATTCTAAAAATATGATTTAAAAGGATTCAACATGATTCAAATTTTTTAATTCTGTTGAATACTATTTAATTCTAAAAATATGATTTAAAAGGATTCAACATGATTCAAATTTTTTAATTCTGTTGAATACTATTTAATTCTAAAAATATGATTTAAAAGGATTCAACATGATTCAAATTTTTTAATTCTGTTGAATACTATTTAATTCTAAAAATATGATTTAAAAGGATTCAACATGATTCAAATTTTTTAATTCTGTTGAATACTATTTAATTCTAAAAATATGATTTAAAAGGATTCAACATGATTCAAATTTTTTAATTCTGTTGAATACTATTTAATTCTAAAAATATGATTTAAAAGGATTCAACATGATTCAAATTTTTTAATTCTGTTGAATACTATTTAATTCTAAAAATATGATTTAAAAGGATTCAACATGATTCAAATTTTTTAATTCTGTTGAATACTATTTAATTCTAAAAATATGATTTAAAAGGATTCAACATGATTCAAATTTTTTAATTCTGTTGAATACTATTTAATTCTAAAAATATGATTTAAAAGGATTCAACATGATTCAAATTTTTTAATTCTGTTGAATACTATTTAATTCTAAAAATATTGGAGCAAGACCCATAGGTAGAAAAAGACACTAACAACTATCGAAATTGAGACGAGATTTGCTCAAGCCTTAAAAAAGATTGCTATATGGGTAATTATATTGCTTACCTCTATTCATACATGTCTTGTAGATGTTGTCGATGAGTTTGTAAGGCTTAAAGTCAGAAGAAATCCCTTTTTTGATAAGCTTTTCGATGAAATCGTGCTTGAGAGCGATTAGATGAGAATAATCGTTGGATTTGTCGGTTTTTTTGTACCTTCCGCAGGCAAATTGGTAGAAATTCTCACAAGGGTTCACTTTATCGTTGCGGTACCTCACTATCCGCGAGACTAGTGCAATCAAAGACAATATAACAATATGATCAATCAATTAGACGCAAGAGGTAACGTGTTTAAGAGTGGAACTTACCGGTCTCTAAGCGCTCTTCAGCACAAGCTTCACTCATACACTGATTAGACACCACTGGAAGAACAAAACAAGATTATTCAATAAGGTGCGATGACTAGGAATTGTGATTAAAACTGAAACTATATACCATTATTACGCGGGGCGTCAATCACGGAAGCTGAGATCGGTAAGACCAAACAAAACAACCCGGCGATCGATAGCCATTGAGCTTTTCTAAAACAATAATAGATAAAATAGATATAGATTTTTGTGCAGGTTATCGAATCTTGCACTAGATGTCTTACTTAAGTGTCATTTATTATGTTTCTCCGGTTATCGGTACTAAAGACTTGAGACAAGTAACAGAAGACCACCATCTCGTTTTGTTAAATAGTACTTGTGGTAAGTTATGGCTCATTATCTTGTTAAAGTAAATTCGTAAGTTACGCAAAGGACAAAGTCATTGTTGTTTTAGAGCGTACAATGAGCCGAAATGATATCATCGCTTATTACCCTCGTAATTATTGTGTTATCCAGAGTACCCAAGACCTACTTTCGATTTATCTGTACACTTACCTCGTTTACTAAGGGCACAAAAAATAAAATTTAACATAGTAAAATTAATTAGTGTCCAAACTAAAAATTAACACATGCGCTACTAAAATTTTTCAATAGATTAACATAAAAATTTATTTATTTTTGTTTTAACTAAATTTTATCTAGAGCAAGATAAAATTTTTCAAGATCATAGAATGTGTTTATTGATTACGGCGATTTTGTTTGTTCTTTTATTAACTTTGTGTGTTTGTCAACATAATTGAGAGTCTTTTGATCGAGAATGTAAAGCTACAACAATACTTTGTTATAAAGTTAGATTATAAATAATATTTAATGGTGAGGGTCACCGATCCAGCTACTAACCATTTAAAATGCTACTTAACCAAGAAGGATCGGTAAGTATTTGGCTTTAACTTCGGTCTGTTGGCTCGAGGACAAACTATATACTAACCTACAACGGTCTTATAGACAAAACTAATAGGACCGAGTACTGTGTGATAAGTCTTAGCTTCCTCTTACACCTTTACTATGGGACATTTTTAAATTTAATATCTACCATGGTAATTTATAAATAATATACATCGGACTAAGTAATATATTGTTGAATTTACTATAATAATCTAGTAAAAATAATTGGCAGTACTAGTAATCTTTTCTTCTTTTTGTTAGTTAAATTTTCCAGGTATATTAAATAGGATTTATAAATTAGTCCTAATACTTGTAAATTTCGTATTGAAATTAAATTTTTTCGAGCATATAGTATTGAGGACTGTTTTATTATGCTTATACCCCAGCGATACAATGACACCCATACTAAAATTTTTATTTTGAACTTGAAGAATTTACTGGGTGGATTATGTAGAACTCACTTGCTGCGATAGAATTTAGGGTATTTGTCCAATTTCTGAGTTTGAGGGAGGATCAGGGTGTTTGGTGAGAAAGAGACCACACATGGGACCGGGGTGATTTTTCTGTCGTCGCGTCAACATACGGCTCTTAAGTAAACTTCGAGCATATGCAGAGACGGTTTTCTTGAGAAACTACTTGTTAAAATATGGTCAATGTGGTTGGAGTCGGTTTTATAATGGAAGTACTGAAAATAATGCCAAGGAGTCGCTCGGCTATAAATGTCATTGATTTCTGATGGTTGCCAGGGTTACTTTGAAGTTGTCGAGCTTCAAAGTTTGAATTTCTGGGATTTGGGAAATAAAGAGAGGCTTTGATGTTGTTGATGGCTTTTTCGTGGAACTCGGGAAATTGAAGTTGTCATTTTGGGTTTTGGTTTTGCTGTAGAAGATCAGAAGGTTGAAGTGGACAAAGAATTTGTTTTTTTTGCTGAAGTAGTTTTGAGTTTCTATAGATTGTTGTAATGACTTTAGAAATATATAAAATAGATTTTGATGTCTGGTAGCGAACAAATGGTAATTTTTGGATGAAATTTTGTGTAGACTTAAAGGACATTATTTAAAGATAAGTTTCAAAAAAAATCAGGAAAATAGGTCGAGTACTTTTGCAGTTATAGTCATTGAAAAGTTAAGGATACACATCAAAGCGCGGACCAGAAAAATTTTAATTTAGATTTTTCGTTCTAGATCAAAAAGGTTCTCATCAATTTTTCCGTATTTTTGATATTTTAGCCAAAATTTGAGATCAATAGTAAAAAACAAATTTTTTAGTCAGAATAAAATTAGTTAAACAATTTTGAGCTAAATATTGAAATTTCTTACAATTTTAATTAAAAAAAAATAAAATTAATATTTGATTAATCACTTTTAATAATATACTAGCAACCTTGCAGTCACTATGTGACTGCCGTAACTTGTAAACTATAAATGAATAAAATTTTGGTTTATTAAATAATGATTTTTGTTAAATTCCACTGTATTTTTGTAACTATTGAAGTTTTCAAAGATATAAGCTCATCCTGATGTTACACTCATCAAGAGCTTCCGTTTGAGTACCCACATGCATTTTGATATATTTTTCATATATACATATATATAATATATATAAAATATATGAAAAATTGAAGTGGGTATTCAAATGAAAGGTCTCGATGAGTGTAACATC